GAAAGTCTTAATATTGACGTGTGTTGTCTATCCGAGACCCGTATTCAAGACTCTGGTGAAGTACTACAAGTTCGCTCTCCATCTGTCGCTTCAAAAAGCTTGTTTTATGTGCGTTTATCCGGGGACCCTGTGGCATCTTCGTCTGGTCTTGCTGGCGTTGGTATCGCACTAAGCGCAAGAGCTGAGGCAGCACTAGTCGACTGGATCCCCATTAACAGTCGGTTATGTGCTGTTAGATTAGAAAGTTCCATCAAAGTGAGAAGAAATTGGCGTGAGAAACGATGTCTTTTCGTAATCTCCGCCTATGCCCCGACAGATTGCAGCCCGGATGCAATCAAGGATGAATTCTACAACCAGCTAACTGTTCTTCTCCAGAAAGTGCGTTCGACAGATATTGTTGTACTAGCCGGAGACTTGAATGCTCATGTCGGGCGTCTAGGCACAGAAGAGAGTCGTTTAGGTGGCCGATGTGGACTCGTTGGTCGCAGGACAGATAACGGGGAACGTCTACTGCAACTATGCACAGACCACAACCTGTTTCTGGCCAGCACTAACTTTCGGCACAGTCATCGCCGATGTGCCACCTGGCGTCCCCCTTCTGCATCTCAAGCCTGGACTCAGATTGATCACATCGCGATCAGCTACCGCTGGCGCGGTTGTGTACAAGACTGCCGCTCATTTTGGAGTACCTATCTGGAATCTGATCATGCTCTGGTCTGCGCCAATCTTACCTTACTTTTCAGTGGACAACGAAGTGACCGCCACCACAGGATTGATGTTAGCAAGCTGGCTGCAACTTCTGTTGCTAGTATGTACCGAACCGAGCTAGCTTCTAGGCTAGCTACCATTCCACCGAAAAGTATAGATGAGCATTGGTTGCAATTGCATGACGCCATGAAAATGGCGGGTCAAGTCTGTTGTGGGTTCGCGAAACGTCCCGCTTACAAGCACTGGGTTTCTTCTGGTTCCTTACAACTGATTGAAGCCCGTCGGTCTACTCCGGGTGACCGTGAGTTTGACCACAGACGAAGGATGTTACGTAATGAAATCGGGCAAAGCTTGCGTAAGGACCGAGAAACCTGGTGGTCGAAGCGTGCTAATGAGCTGGAAGCAGCAGCTGCACCTGGTAATTACCGGAAGCTCTTCCAACTCATCCGAGCCACCGGCAGCAAGAAGTCTGGTGTGAGCGAAACAATCTGCGAGGATGACGGAACGCCAATCACTAACATCCATCGACGTCTTGGACGATGGGCAGAATTCTTTGAAGGGCAGTTCAACTGGCCTGCTGCTCCGGCAACACCGGTCAGACTGTCCTGCCCTCCATGGCCGGTGACGACTGATCCACCAAATGAGGCGGAAGTCCGCAAGGAACTCCAACTCTTGAAACGTTACAAATCACCGGGCCCAGATGACTTACCTCCGGCTCTTTTTAAAGATGGTGGTGACTTTCTGACTAAGGGACAGACGACGTTGTTTACAAAGATCTGGGAACTAGAGAGTGTACCAACGTCATGGAATGAGTTGATAGTTGTCCTTATCTTTAAAAAGGGTTCACGTTGTTCCTGTAACAACTATCGGGGGATAAGTCTACTTCCGATTGCGTCCAAGCTATTGGCTTCCGTATACTTCGTAGGTTGTTCAGAACCCGAGAAGGATTGACTCGCGAGGAGCAGGCTGGGTTTCGTTCTGGTCGAGGATGTATTGATCATATGTTCACCCTCCGCCAAGTGTTAGATCACCGCCATACTTATCAAAGGCCAACAATCGTAGTGTTTCTTGATATCAGGGCTGCCTTCGATTCGTTGGACAGAACTGTTCTCTGGGATTGTCTATTGAAGAAGGGTGTGCCTGAGAAGTTTATGAACATCCTAAAAGCCCTATACACAAACACCTCAGGCAGAGTGAGGGCATACAACCACCTTTCGCCACTATTCCATTCGAGCAGTGAGGTTAGGCAGGGTTGCCCAATCTCACCATTCCTCTTCAACTTTGCCATCGATGACATTCTGGAAACAGCTCTGACGGATGTAAGTAATGGTGGTGTGGATCTGTAGCCTGGAGAAAGACTTCCCGACCTTGAGTATGCGGATGATATTGTCTTACTGTACGAGAATGCTCAAGCTATGCAATCCGCACTCAATCAGTTGGCAATCAGTGTCCGTAGGTATGGTATGTGCTTTGCACCCTCGAAGTGCAAAGTACTTCTACAAGACTGGCAGGATTCTAATCCTGTACTCACTCTGGATAGTGAGCGGATAGAAGTGGTCGAGAAGTTCGTGTGTCTGGGTAGCTGCATAAGTGCTGGTGGTGGCGTGAGTGATGAGATCAATGCACGTATAGTGAAAGCCAGAGCGGCTTATGCCAATCTGGGCCATCTTTGGCGCCTTCGTGATGTTAGTCTAGCTGTAAAAGATCGGATCTACAACGCGTCGGTGAGAGCAGTTTTGCTCTATGCTTGTGAAACCTGCCCTCTCCGAGTTGAGGATGCTAGACGACTCTCTGTGTTCGATCATCGTTGTCTCCGAAAGATTGCTGGCATCCAGTGGCAACACCATGTCAGTAATGCAGAGGTTCGGCATCGAGTGTTCGGTCACAGAGACGATAATGAAATTGGTGTCACCATCTTGAAACACCGACTTCGGTGGCTTGGACATGTTCTACGAATGTCGTCCCAGAGAATTCCTCGTCGTGCATTATTTGCCGACTCTGGGACTGGTTGGAGAAAGCGGAGAGGTGGTCAGTTTATGACATGGTGTCGTGGTATGAAAGAAAGCTGCAAAGGGCTAGCTTCTGTTGGTCCTTCACGACTCCCTGGTTGGGGTCCGAGAGATGGTGTAACGCAGTGGCTAGAGACGTTATCAGATATGGCTAAGAATAGAAGCCAGTGGCGATCCTGCTGTAACCTTCTTTTACTTTCTTCATAAAAAGGTGGTCGTATTCTTCCTTAACTGAAAGATCTGTTCTGATTGTACCTTTCCGTTTTCCCCATCATTGTTCTCTCTCTCTTTTTTTTTTATTTATCCCCACGTTCATTACTTTTTTTCTCTTTTCTCCTTCTCTTCAAATTATCATTGTTTTGTGTGGCGCATATATATTTGGTGTCCTCCTGTACCAATGTTTATGTGTTCAAATAAATAAATAATAAATAAATAAATAAATTCACATGTCTCACTTCCATGTGATACACTGTCAATAATGACAAATGGGATATCATTCCTAATGAATAGCGCTACTCCCCCTCCTTAACGCTTATGTATTCTGTCGGTCCTTACTCAAGTGAGACCCTCAAAATCGAGTTCCATACTATCAATAGACAGTGTCAGCCAGGTTTCTGTGACTGCGATTGTGTCTGGCTTTGTAGAGTCAATCTGTTCACATTGTTCCGATCGCTTATTGAGCAAGCTTCGGGCATTAGTGTAACATATCCGAAGCCTATTTAAGTGGCTTCGGCATCATTCTCTGACGTAGCATCACAACCCGAAATTTCATAATTTTAGGGTCCATTTCGCCAGCGTCTAACCTAATTTGTAGTTCTTTTTCGGCTTCCTGTCTTTTTACACGGTCTGCCAACGGCAAGTCCTTTCGGATAAAAGCTCTCGAACCCTTTAATTTATGTCAATTCTGTAAAATTAAGTCCCTTTCATTCGAAGATTTGAATACTACTTTAAGCAGTTTAGATTGATCAGGCTTCATGTTCGCTAAACTACCTAGTCTATACACCTTTGGCAAGCTGACTCCAGAGATATTTTGTGGCATGAGTTGATTAAGTAGCTGTTTTATCAGAACAATGTCATGCTCAAAACCAGTTTTTCGTTCAGAGCTTTCGCTCTTCTTGATTCTATGAAAAATAACTGATCTATCACTGTGATCAGCCTTCGATTTTCCGACTACTTTTATGAGGGTAGGGTTCTCTTTAATATCGTTATTTTATTTCTTCCTTACAACTTGTACCCATTCGTCAACGTTGCTTGGAGAAGCAACCACAGTCGCGTCAAACATACTGTGGAATTCCGGAGGGTTTTTGATGACTTGAAAGGTCAGGCTATGTGTCCCACTAGAGCCTTGCGTTTGCGGCTTTTATTTGTTTCTCTCTGGATACCATTTTGAGGACGTGGGACAGAAGAAACTTCATTCATTGAGTTTTTAATTAAGACAAACCTCTTTGAAGACTGTTCTCCCTCCGTTGGCCTGTGCGAAACATCTGTTTTCGAACTGACTTGAGTTTGCTTCACGCCAATTTGCGTGTCAGCGGAACTAGTGCTTGTTGATGTGTCGTGACCACACTTGCCAAAACATTTTCCAGCAGCACTAACCAATGAAATGGCCTCGGTTAGCAAGCTGTTAGCATCCGAACAGCACTGTTGACAGAGCCATACGCAACCATTCTTACTGAACCGTTTGAAAGCCGCAGGCGTTAAATTTGTGCAAACTTCGTGGTACTAGCCTTTGCACTCATCTCACTGCATGCCGCTTTCAACAGGATAACGACAACCTGGGCGTTGGCAATTGCTTTATTTACACTGTCCAGCCAATTAAACACGGAGTTTTATTAAAAGAACTAGATGCAAAGATACTCGGGGGCAAAAATGATCTACGACCAAAAAGAGTGGAAAACTGTAGATCGTTAGAACCAAAAGTAATAACAGATACAATATAAAAACAGAGTACTCAAAATTGCTAACAACAAACTACTTTAGAAACAAAAACGATACTCTAATCGCATACTTTAACTGAAAGAAACTCAATTAAAGTGAAAACAGTAGTTTTGATTCGTATAAACGATCAAAACAATAGAATTTACTCAGCGAGGAAAACTACCACTGTTCTTTTTGAATAGCGCGACAAAAATGAGTACATAACATTTTAGTTTTACAAAACTCAACAGAAGCAACTGAAAGTTAGGATCCGTCTATTTTTAACTAGGAAATTAGTTATTCTTGCACATCACATAGATAATAATTTCATCAGTGGTGCGCAATATACAATTGTAGCGCTATAGTATGACTTTTAGACCATCGGTTGTTTTCCGTGGCAGTTTTTTGGCCACCACAGGGAGACGCAATGAGTCTAGAAGTCTTGGTTGTCATCAAAAGTTTCTTCCGCTGGAAATTCGGGGATTGAATGACTTTAAGCCCAGAGACAACAGACATATATCTTTCAAAGAAGTTGGTATATTGTTTACTGTGCAAAATAATAATAACTCAGAAACCGGTCATTTTGCACGAAAAATTCAACGATCTTATCGATTGGACAAATATTTGGCCAGCTGCTGCTACATTCCACCATTCTATTGTTCCCTTTAGAGTTCGTCAAGGATTTTGTAAAGTTAGTGTACATAAAATTTATCTGTAAGGCTGATAGAATTTGTCAGAGAACGAAGGGTTGCCGCCTGAAAAGTACGCAAATGCCGAACTGATGAAAATCCCCAACTTTTTACATCTCACTCCCTCACACATTAAAAAGCATTGTGATGCGTTAAAAAGTAAGGATAATAAATGTTTATTTTTGTAAAAGAGTTTTGCACCTTATGGCCCTCTGGTTTAAGTTCAAATGAAACAGTTGAGAAGCATTACCCTGTTGTAATAGTTAACCGCTCCTACGTATTTACCTCTTCAAATATACGTGACCCTCGTTCCCGTGTTGTAACACTTCAGGTAAGCCTACTAGCAGTCTGAATTTATTTCCATACTCACTGGTTTCAACTTATATATAATGTGTCAATAAAATTTTATGTCCAGATATATCGTATTATTCTGGTGTATAGTGTCGGTGGGACTCGTTTTTCTTCGACTTGAAAGACCTTGTTCAAATACACGTTTGTGTTGATTGTTCAAAGACTAGGAGTATTGCACGATCACTGAGGCCGAAGTAGATGGGTTAGGTTTCTATTGGATTTGCTAAATGAATAGCACTAAAAACCACAAAAATAAAAGATTTTTCCTTCGCGAACACTATAAACCCTAATAACTTAATAGACATGAACACCAAGGTTGGACTTGATGGTTTCAAATAAATTGAACATTTGATGGAAAGTTAATAAATATGTTTTTTTGTTCTATTGCAGTGAGTGGAAAACTTGTATTCCCGGCGTTTCGTGACAATGTAAGCCACTTCAGAGTAAATAAGTAACCAAAGTGCTATTTCAACTTGTGTTAATTTATTTTGGTTATTTATTTACTCTGAAGAAGTGGCCTAATCACTTAGTTTTATGAAGCTTTACCGATAATTTCACTCAAAACTAGTAATTATATTCACTACACGTTCCTTTTTGCCAATTATCTTGACAAAACTCATCTTAATTGTTTTAGTTTTAGCAGTGTGTCCCTGGTTTTCATCATAGCTTTTGTCTTAGTGGATTTGATGTACAATGTCGCATTATTCGCCTAGCTGTTTACGAACATTCTGCTTACTCGAATACTGATGTGATTGTTTTGTGTGGCCCATGTGTTTCTAGCCGGAGTTGAATTACATGTTCTAGGACAAAAAACATCCAGTCTGAGTTTTCGCCAGAAGCTAGCAGTAACATCATACCTCTATTATCCAGGTTCTAAGTTGCTTACGAGTGAAGGCTTTTCTGCTAACATACTTTTTCCAGTCAAATAGTAGCCCCTTTTAGTTTACGTTGGTGTTTATGTTATCCACGTAGTGTTTACCCAAATCCTAAATCCGGAATTTAATCAGCACCCAAGACTGACGTTTACAAACATCATTTTGTTTTTTTTAAAACTCACTTGTGTTCACTTATTGATATTCTGATCACGTTCAATTCATCGTATTATGTAGTTACTTAGATCGTAAAAGTTCCTAGTAAAAAGTATGCTTGACAAACCTATAGTTAGGGATAATAAATGCACAGAAATAGATTGCATGTGAATATTGGTGTCTGTACAGTTATTGACTTTATCTCTTTGGTAGTTACTCATGAAACCTTCATTAAGTACTGTGGGAGGTACACAACTCAAACACAGGTGGATTTAATCCTCAGCACCCATCCTAACAATCAAAAGCAAAAGAGATGGAAAAGGCAGCGGCAATAGATAACAGCAGGCAACTGTTCAGACTTGTTAAGGAAACCGGTATTAGGAACCCAACTGTTGGCGAAACAATCTCAGAGAAAGATGGACGGAACACTTTGGAGATCAGTTCAACTGACCTTCAGCCACACTTCGGTTTCCTACGATCTCCAATTTACCTGAATGGCAAGTTAATGTGAATCCTCCGACTCTTTACGAAGTTGAAAAAGCTATAGGAAATCTGAAGCGTGGGAGAGCAGCAGGTCCTGACAAGTTTACCCCTGATATTTTTAAGGATGGTGGTCCAGTATTGGCAGCGAGATTGACTGAGGTCTTAGGCAGAATCTGGGAACTGGACGTAATCCCATGTGACTGGTCTCAATCACTGATTGTGCCAGTCTATAAGAAAGGACAAAAGTCTTCTTGTGACAATCACAGAGGTATTAGTTTAACTAATATAGTGTCTAAAATATTAGCTTTAGTAATACTTCGACGCCTAACTAAAGCTCGTGAAGAGCAGACTAGAGAAAACCAGGCTGGTTTTCGACCTGGACGTGGTTGTATAGATCAGATATTCACACTACGTCAGGTCCTAGAACATAGACTCACATTCAGACGCCCCACAATGGTAGTATTTCTCGACCTTAAGGCGGCATTTGACTCGATTGATCTTGAGGTTCTATGGCAGTGTTTGTCACTGAAAGGAGTACCAAAGAAGTACATTACCCTTATAAAGGCTCTCTACTCGAACACAACTAGTCGAGTGAGAGCTTATGGCGAACTGTCATCAGAATTGATTACCTCAAGTGGTGTTCGTCAGGGCTGTCCACTCTCTCCATTCTTGTTTAACTTTTTTGTTGACGTCCTTTTAGAGATGACACTTTCCTCATCTAAATTTCCAGGAGTTGAACTTCTACCGGGAGATCCACTTGTTGACTTAAAATATGCCGATGACATAGTTCTATTTGGTGAAGACGCTGACAAAATGCAGAGTCTGCTGACCACTCTAAGCAACAATGCAGACATGTTCGGCATGCGATTCTCTCCCTCGAAATGTAAAATGTTGTTTCAGGATTGGGTTGCATCAACACCCGAACTAGTGATAGGGAGTGAAGTAGTTGAGCGTGTCGACCGCTTGACTTATCTTGGGAGTCTCATCAGCCCTTATGGTCTGGTGTGTGATGAAATCTCAGCGCGGATACAGAAGGCTCAACTAGCTTTTGCCAACTTGCGTAATTTGTGGCGTAGGCGAGATATCTGTCTATCAACCAAAGAACGTGTTTACTGCGCAGCAGTTCGTTCCGTCCTACTCTTTGGCAGTGAAACATGGTCGGCAAGAGTAGAGGATATTCGTAGGTTACTAGTATTTGATCATAGATGTTTTCGAAACATTGCTCGTTTATCCTGGGACCACCGAGTAGGCAACTCAGTTGTTAGGAAACAGGTACTAGGTAAGGATGGCAAATCAATTGATAAAGTAGTGAAACTTCACCAGTTGAGATGGCTGGGACATGTGTTACGTATGCCCGACCACCGACGTGCGATGTTTTATGGTGTAGGAGTAGGTTGGAAGAAAGCTAGGGGCTGCAAGACCAAAACATGGCACAAATCCATGAAGTCACTGACTAGTGGACTGAGCCATGTTGGTAGGTGTAGACTACCTGGTTGGGGGCCGCGAGATGATAGAAACTGATGGTTAGAGACCTTGAATGACATGGCTCAAAATCGTTTGCAATGGCGCAGGTGCATCCACTCTCCGTGTTCTCTCAAACTCTAATCTTCTGAATTCCTCATGTCCTTTATTTTCTTTCCAAATTTATTCCACTGGATTATACTCCTTAAATAACATCATCAAACCCTAATATTCCCTATTACTACTTATACTTTCACTACCTCTACCACTACGGGATTTGAATCGATAACTGAATCTCTGTGTTAATGTGGTACGGCAACTCGAACTGATGTACGTGCGTACGAAGTTCTATGTTGTTACTGAATGACTGGTCGAATTCATTTAATTTCACATTTGATTGGTCGCTGAATAGTGGCTAGTATCATGTATGTCAAGTACTTCTTAGTGCTGATCGAACTCTGTTGATCAAGTTGATATTTAGCTACCAGTGTAGGTCACTTAATACCGTGTGAACTATGTTGAGGTGTAAGATGATGGCTTGAGGTATTTGGTTCCAGAACATTCGCGGTTTAAATAGTTTAGCAGCAATGTCTTCCACTGTAGAGCTCGGTGACAGCATCATGTCCCCTATGGAGCACCAGTTCCTTCAAAATTACATGTAAGCCTTGCTGACGAGTGCCGAATCTGACGAAGCCTAGGGCCAGAGCTTTCTGTCAATAGATACAACCACCAATACACCATTTAGTTTTAATTTTCTGTAGATCTTGTTGCAATAAGTTTACCACAAGGAGGAATAAAATACCAACTATTAATATTCTAGTATACGTGACATACTTTGAAAACTATCAAGTCAAAATACTTAATTTATACAGTCCGGATTTTTATTTAAAATAACTGTTGGCTTACATTCTAGATACGCCTTTCTAACCTTTCTTTGGACGAACATGCTAGACGAAAGCTTTTACGGCTTGCGATAGGTCCTGGTCCAGGTCGCAATATTGCAACATATGACTGGAATACAGATATTTTAGAGTTAACCTCAGAGAGGTGTCCAACATCAAAGCAGAACTCCGATTTTTTAATATATTTATTGACAGTTCTTACTATGGAATCAAAAGTAAGCTTGTTTTGGTTTTATATTAAACTTCTGGCTTGCTTAGTGTAATATTTCTATCACTGAAATGTTACAACTACATACCTTTGGGGATTTTGTTTAAAAAGAGACAATAATTTACTTAATGAGTAGTATTTTAGCTGTAATGAATCGCAATTTAAAAAACCTATAAATGAATAAAAAGGTTTGCATTAGTACATACTCTTGCTATCTATCATACTTTTTATTTATGATACTAGATTTGATTAGTTTCCAAAGGTAACTTTCAACATAAACCAAAATAATTGTGAGAAACTACGGTTGTTCAAGATTGCTGTGGATCGATTTCCTTTGATTTTATATGTTGGAGATGGTAAGTAACTGTATCTCATCATCGTTGTCTCCGAAGGATTACTGATATTCAGTGGCAACACTATGTTAGTAATACAGAAGTTCGACAAGGTGTGTTCGGGCAAAGTCAGTCATTTACAACGTAAGATCACATATATGCATCGGTCGAAGTTGCCAGGCCTCAGTAGCACAACAAAACGAACGTCGAATTCATAGAAGCAGTTACTTCATTGGTAGTAATATGTAAAAAAGACTGCATATAAGGATATAATACAGGGGGAAAGAATTATTCGGACACAGTGACGATAATCTAATGGTTTTCACCATCGTAAAACACCGAATTCGGTGACTTGGATACATATTATGAATGTCGTCCCAACGAACTCAACATTTTATGTTATTTTTTTACTCGGTTTGGTTTTTAAGAGCGGAGAGATGATGAATCGGCGCTATGGGATGAAAGAAAGGTATACAGAACTGTCGTTCATGACTACCTAGTTAAGGTCTTAGAGACGGTGCAACAGAGTGACTTGAGACGTTATCAAACTTTTTCCAACCAGCTCCAGAATCGGAAAATAATGCACAATGTTGAGTTTTTATGATGACATTCACAGTACTGATCCAAATCACCGAATTCGGTGTTTCAGGATGGTGACAGCAATTAGATTGTCATCACTGTGCCCGAACACACGTTGTCGAACTTCTGTATCACAAGCATGGTGTTGCCACTGAATATCAGTTATCCTTCAGAAACAACGATTGTCAAACACAGATTCGCTTAACATCCTCAACTTGGAGAGGCCAGGTTTCATAGGCGTAGAGAAAAACTTCTGTCATCGATGGGTTGTACATCCGACATTGTACAGCCGGTTTAGCACCGCGAAAGCACCAAAGATGCATCAAATTAGCATAAGCCGATCTAGCTTTCATTATACGTGAATTGGTCTCATTATTCACTCCATCACTAGCACTAACACAGGAACCCAGATACTCCACCATTACCTACATCTGTCAGCTGTTTCCAGGACACCATTGATGGTAAAGTTGAGGAGTGATGAGGTTAGACAACCTTTCCTAATCTCACTTTCTGAATCAAATAATAGAGAGAGGTGGTCGTGTACCCTCACTTTGCGTGAGGTGTTTGTATATAAGGCTTTCAATATGCTAATAAATTTCCCAGGCACACTCTTCAATAAACAATTCCAGAGAACAGTCATATCCAACAAATCGATGGTGGGCCCGATTGTCGAGAAGCACGACGATTTTTGGCCTGCAGTAATTATGGCGATGTTTTAACATTTAGTGGAGGGTGAAGATATGATCATAACATCCTCGATAAGAACGAAAATCAGCCTGCTCCTCGCGAGTCAATGCTTCCCGAATTTTGAACAATCTACAAAGTAGGACAGAAGCCAATAATTTGAACGCAATCGGTAGTAGACTTATCCCTTGATATTTGTTGCATAGGTAACGTTAACTTTTTTAAAGATATGAACAACTTTTGACTCATTCCATGATGTTGCAACACTAATTACCAGATGTTCGTAACTAACAGTCAGTTCTTTAACCAAGAGGTCGCCACCATCTTTGAGAAGGGCTGGAGGTAATTCACTCGGGTTTAATGATTTATGACACTTCAAAAGTTGGAGTTTTTTGCGGACTTCCGCCTAATTAGGTAAGTCAATCCTCACCGGCCATGGAGGACGGGACAGTCGGACCGATGTTTCCGAGACAACAGACCAGGTGAACTGTTCCTCAAAAAACTATCCATTGTCCAAGACGTCGGTAAATGTCATTGATTAGCATCCCATCAGCTTGATTGATTGTTTCACTCACAGCAGACGTTTTGCTGCCAATGGCTTGGTCTAGTTTCCTGTAGTTATCAGGTACAGCTGTTGCTTCCAACTCGTTAGCAAGCTCCGACCACCATCCTTCTCGGTCCTTACGCAAACTTTAGTTTTAACAAAGTACAATAGGCGAAAAAATATTTCCTCACAATTCTCAATAAATTGCAGATTTTTGTAGAAAATAATAAGAATTAAAAGGTACCAATTAGTTACTCGTTAACTTTATTTATCTGAGCAACAAGGTAAGAAATAATAGTTTAAAATGAAAAGATGGTTCATCTGTGAATTATTTCACTGTCAACCTGGTGCACTAGCGTATAATTGTTTATCGTTCTACACTTTGTATTTTTTCAACCATAACGGAAGATGCTCGGAAATTAGATGATGAATTTGTCTTGCACACGAAATGTAATATTCTCCGTAGTAGGAGGCGTAGTCAGCTAGCCTTTGTTATGTACATCGTATAGTTGGAGAAGTCCATTGTCAAATTTCATAGCGAACTCCTTCAAGGTTTACCAAATGGCTTATTTAAAGATGGATTTTTCACAGTTTTGGTTAGTAACCGTGAATTTTGTAGTTAGTTGTGCTAAGAGTTAGAGTGGATGTCTACTAATGATAGTAGGTCACTCCAAACATGAAATATTGGAATCACAGTCACTATTAATGATGTAGAGATAATGAAGGAACCTGGACAGTGGAACTGATCTTGAACTAAGCCACTTAATGTCTCTAGTCGTCCAAGAATCTACATCCTACAATATAACTCAAAATAACAATCAGTGATTTCGTAAACTCATCCCATTTTTATTTAAAACTTCCGTTAAACTTTTTATTACCTGTTCTTATGTTAGAAAGTACTGCACTTCTGATTAGATTATGCCTACGGATGAGCAAGACAAACCGATTGACTTGGTCAATAAAGATTCATAGCCACATCAAGCTGATCTACCATTCATATTTAGTATCGTACACCTAACGTCCTCGGGATTACAATGTAGTCTCATAATGTGCGAGAAGTGTTTCAAAAATGCTAACAACCACCCAAGTCTCTTTTAAAGGCTGTAATTCAGACAGTGCTACCCCTGACTACTACTACTACATGCTAGGGGAGAACATACTTCATAATTTTTTTATTGTTTACGCCCAAACGATCCGCTACTCCTCGTTCGTTTATATTTCAGAAAACTGAAAAATGGGAAATAGATAATCCGGAATATGATTGGGTACAATTTGATTGGGATAAAAGTGAAACACGCCGTCGTCTTTTCAACTTACTTTCATTGTGCAATAGTGAACAAGCTATCAAAAAGAATCAAACAAAAGAAAGTGATTTCACGGCCGAAGTAGGTGAAAATGTTTCTGTGAACAGCTTTTTCCGTTCAATTACCAAAAATATTAGTTTCCCCGTTAACAGTTGTCTGTGTGCTGTTGGGCTAAACGGATCCGTAAGAACTCGGAAGGGACACACGTCGTTACCTTTTCGTCGTTTCTGCCTGCGCTCACACTGAATGCAGCCCGGATGAAGTGAAAGATGACTTTTACAGAAAGCTTTCTGAACTTCTTCAGAAAGCTGGACGCTTAGACATAGTATTCGTAGCAGGTGACTTTAATGCCCAAGTAGGTAGCTTAAACCAAACAGAAAGACATTTAGGTGGGTATTTTAGTATCCCAGCTCAGCGAACAGATAATGGTGATCGTCTTCTGCAACTGTGCTCAGACGATCGTTTATTTTTAGCAAGCACTAATTTTAAGCATAAGGAGAGACATCGTCTGACATGGCGACCCCCTTGCACCAAACCAACGATGGACTCATATAGACCATACTGTCATCAGTCATCGTTGGAGAGAGTCTATAGAAGATTGTCGCTCGTTCTGGAATACCCGCTTGGACTCCGATCATGCTCTAACACGAGCATGCATTTGCTTGCGCCTCACTGGACGCAGAAAAATCACATTAAGAAGACCCATTCGGGTTGAACTCAGTAACGAGAAAGCCAAAAATAGATTCCATGAACAACTGAGGTCACACTTAGTTCAAAAAACAAGGCTGATTCAGATGTGGCTTGGAAAGATATACGAAAGGCTGTGGAAACAGCAGTGATATCTATTAGTTATTTTAACCAAAGGGTTACAAAAAACCAGTGGAGTTCTGCTTAGTTTATTGCACTGATAGATTCTGTTAAACTTATCCTATCAGACTCTGAACACGATGAAGATCCAAAACAAATCAGATCTAGGTTAACCAAAAGTCTAAGGAACGACTGTGATCAGTGCTGGGCAACGAAAGCAAATGAGATGGAAAAGGCAGTGGCTGCAAGTAACACCAGATAGCTTTTCAGACCAATAAAAAATTGGAATTACGAAGTCAAGTGTAAGTGAAACGACCTCGGAAAAAGACGACACTTATTTGCTCTCAGCCCAAACGTTTAAAACGATGGGCGAAAGACTGTCCTTCAGCTACTCTACAATTACCCACCATTCCTAAACAAAATAAATGGAAGATTGAAAAAGGTTCCCGGACTGTAGTTTAAATTCAAAAGGCTATAGCTATTCTGAAACGGGGAAGAGCAGCTGGTCCAGATGGATGGTCCGATTCAACACCTGAACCAAGGATATGGAGTGAAGTAGTCGGACACTTTGATAACTTCACTTATCTTGGTGTCTGACGAAACCTCATCACGGGTTCGAAAAGCTCGTTTGGCCTTTGCCAACTTACGTCACCTATGGTGCAGGCGAGATATCAGTCTACCAATTAAGGGACGAGTATACTGCGCGGCAGTTCGTTATGTTCTACTTTACGGCTGCGAAACGTGGCAATTAAGAGTAGAACATACTCGTAAGCTACTAGCGTTTAATCACAGATGTCTTAGAAATATTGTTGGCATTTACTGTGATTATCGGGTAAGTAATAGTGAGGTTAGACGCAGGGTATTAGGGAATGATGGCAAATCAGTTGATGAAGTTGTGAATCTTCATCGACTGAGATGGTTGGGCCACGTGTTACGTATGCCTGAACACCGATTACCACGACGCGCAATGCTGACTAGTGTTGGGAATGGTTGGAAAAAAGTTAGGGGCGGCCAAGTAAAAACATGGCATCAGCGTTTGAGGGCATTAACTCCTAGTCTTAGCCATGTTGGTAGATGCTAACTACATGATTGGGGTCCTCGCGACTATCGTAACCAATGGTTGGAGACAGTTGGTGACATGGTTCAGAATCGATCACAATGGCGTCTTTGTATACACTATCTGTCTTCCTTTAAACTAAGGGATTTAAATCGCTTCATATCGTTCTTTCTACGAACTTATTCTCTCTTCCTAATACAAAATCTTTCTTTAATATATCACTTTCATAAAAGTGACTACTTCTATGAATTTGGTGTTCATCTTGTTGCGCTATTGAGGTGTGGCAACTTGGACCGATGTATATATGTGCCTGGTCCTACATTGTAGCAGACTGATTGACTGACTGGTCTTGCTAACTAGATCATAATAATTGAAGGCAAAAGCTTTTGTTACGTTCGTTTAAGATTGTTATAAATTAGTCTTTCATCGAAATCTCAATTGGTATGACAGTTGAATGATTAAAATCTATTCACATTTAAGAAATATAAATAAATTATAGAAGTAGGGTGTAATTTGTTAATTCTTCATCTACTGTATGGTTGGTATTGATTTATTTCATGTCAAAGAAATTACGCCAACTGGATTTTATTTTCATCATAAGAATATATTGTGAGACGTTTACTTAGTTTGATTCTGCACACTTGAGAAAAAGTATATAATTTTGTATTTTACTGTTTACTTGAATTTTCACTCATTTCTTGTATACGTTCAGTGTACAGAACAAAATTCACAACAGATTAAAATATATATTAACTTTGAATGTTATTATAAAAATCAATTTTCAACTTACTTTCATTTCATATCTTTACATATGATTACGTTTAGCTTGAATCTAATCCTGCAGTTGTACAGTATCGAAAAGCATTAAAATCTATATGGTCTAAAAACGATATACTCAATGGTGACCAATGGGTTAAACGACCTGATCCACCTAAATATCGACATGGTCGTCTCCGACCTATTCGAAATATACCATTCGTGACGGTACCGGGTGCAGATGAAATAAATAATTTGAAAGAATACGCCTTAGCAACACGAAATTTATTTGGTTTAAATAGTGAAATACAACAGTCAAATTTGTAGACAGATACTTTAAAAATAATTAGTCTTTGATCAATTTATTTGTATATTTATGCGTTTGGACATTTAATTATTCTTTTCCTGAACACTTTTAAATCGATGCGTACAATGCTTTATTCTCGTGCTATTAGAAATATGGAAGCGGTCTTCCCTTTTCGGCCACTCATATTGTGGAAAGATGTTTCTTTAGATTACTACAGAGCCCAAAGATCAAACAATTTAGGTCGGTCACAGAAGACCCTTTTGTGAGTAGTTTTTAATGTGTTAACTTCATATTTTTTAATATGTCGTATGGCCCGACAAATATCACGTGACAAAATCGCTATTCAAGACACTGGCTTCTATGATCCTGTTTCTGTGCTAAACTAATTACAAATCAAAAAGCATTAACAGCCTTGAATCAACTCTGGATCTTTATTTTTCAATAGGAGGTTGACAATCTGTAACTAATCTAAATCTAAATCAGATTGTGTATATGAATGGATCGCATTGAACTAACACTTTCAAATCCATATTAATTAAATTCATTACTTCCATCACACTCGTATTAAGAGGTATTTAGAGTATATTATGTGATTAAAGATTAAATTAACTACAGTATATTTCGCCACTATCTTGTCCAATAGATGTTGGTTTTATTTGTACGAGTTTTTCACATTGCTGGTGTTACCATACAAATAAAATTCATATCCATTCCCCAAACCAGTGGCTGTCTGTATCGATGGATTAGTATTTAAAGCGAAAGATACGGTGTTCTAGTTTCAGTTTAAACATTAAAGTAGTAGCACACGCATTCGGTTGATAAGTCCCAAGCATGACGAAACGCGTATCACTATTCAACTTTAACAAAAATCTTTCAGATTATTATCTTGACGCCATTAACCCATGTATATTGTATGATCACTTCCTATGAAGGATTTTTAACAAAATGGATAATTGCTAATAAATCCCTATCGTATGTTAATGTTTTAAGATGGGTAGCCCTGAAGGCGCTTATCAAAAAAATAAATACCTTTCGGTCTTTAGAATATCTATATTTTTGATATGATGAGGGAAAAATTAAACCTGATCGTTAGGCGTTAACTCCATTGAAAAGAGATGATCTTTAGTTATCATGTTTTTCAAACATCTATTTGTTGTGTCTAATGCTTCGTACATAAGCTTGTTATTTCGTTAAAAAATAACCGGACCTTCTCGCCATCGGTATTATCTTTGGAATCAGTACACATAAGGGCTTGAGTAAATTGTTCTGTCTCGTGAGTAGCCATCACTCAGTCAACGCATCACTCCATTTCACCTATCGACCAATATTGGGTTTTATTCGTTCTAATTACCCCAACCCCGTTTATCAAATTATACAATAAACAGGTAAATTATGAAACACCTAACATAGTGTTGTTCATTTCGACTATTGTTGGCTAATTAATGTTGTACAGTATGTCTTTACGTGGTTCACTTCATATAACATAAACAATATTCAATGCGATCATAGAAAAAGATTGAATTGTTATCATTTAAGATCATTTTTACAATCAGCCTGTTTGATATGGGTAGATTGGTAATTCGTCATAATTGAAATTAAAACTATTCATTGAGGTTCCAACAACAAGACCATAAGTTAACGAATTCTTGTTACTAGATGTAAATTCCTTCCTTATAATGATAACCGAAAGTTCATTTTCTTAATTTATACTTCTTGCTTGACTTGGCCTGTTGTTGATATGATGAGCCTATCAGAAGGTCAGTCAGTGACCGGAAGTTACCTAAAGGTTAAGTGCATTTCGTTGACAAAGAAATGGGTTGATTTTTTAAGAGGTAGAGCTGTACATATATAAATGAGTATTTATGCAATTTATCCAGTGGCCCTGTATACTTTCTTGTCCACTCTTGTGTTCTCGCTCAAGTAATCGGGTTGGGAGTTAGCGTGTAGCACGTCTTTGAGCACTGATTAGTTGTTACCATTCCTGGTTTTGTTAATTTCACTATGTTCCAAGAGTATGTTTTGTTGTTATATATGTACCAAGTTGTTCTACTTCCGTTTTTTCGTAATTAAATATTAAGCTTTACTTTTTACACTTCGGCTTTCTTGGGTTCTTATATCTAAGGGTTACCGTTAAAGGGTTTTGTTCATCAGTTCCCGCGTATCATCGCGTTTGTATTAAGAGAATCTCGATCGTTCTTACTTAGAATTTACCGTAGCTTCGACCAACTCATTCTTAGAGCACAGTAGGTTCACGTTAAAATGGCTTTCGATACCTTTTTTCATACAACTGAGATATTTGACTCGACAGTGACAAAAAATAGATTCATTTATTTAGTTAAGATGTAGTTAGTACCGTATTCTCGATGCGATCAAATTGTCAAAAAATCCAAGGACGAAAATTAGGTAGTAACTATGTGTGACCAGTACTATTTGCACGTCACGCACATCCATGTGTAGTATTTGATGAGCGTACTGATTAGGATCAAACGAGTTGAGTTTCGCCTATTTATATCATCACGATCTCGGTCTGTGAAGCTTATAAATAATCTTTCGCTCTAACTTATTTCAAGTCTGGATATATCTGGACTGTTGAGCTAACATAGTTCTGAGTTAAGTCGATTTGGCTACAACCCGGCTGAGATCAGTTATAAGTATATAGAACTGAGTCCTGTGTTCTGAATCTGGATGACTGACCCATAATAGAAGTGGGTAAATAATCTATAGTTGACCAAATTATTCTAGATATAATTCCCATGGTGAATTCGTATTATTTAAGAAACTTGGGGTATTAAATAACGGGTAACCACTGTTGTAAGTAGTATAGATCAGCTTACAAGTTGTAGTACCTATCTTACATCAAGTTTGAGATAACTGACTTGATACTATTGAGATAATGTTATGCATCCCGAAGTTACTGTTCACTGTTAATGCCTTAGTTTACTCTTAACTTGTTTGGCTAGTGACATTTTTAACGAAATGTAAACTGTTTGGACCATAATATCTAATACGGTTTGGCATATAATAACTTTCCTAAAATGTTGATTTATCATGTGAGGTATCCCCATGATCACTGCATCATTCTTCATTTACTTAGCTTTAAGTTATAGATAGTATTCATCATGTACTGAAATCATCCGAAAAATCGATGAAAATCTGGGAAGCTCTGAACAGCTATTTTGTCTCGGTTTGATAGATCCTTAGCAGTGTATCCCTTAAGCATGTAAACCTAGTCAGCATTATAACCTGATGATCATCTAGTGCACCTCTAAGACATTTCTCTAAAGACTGTTGCCATTATTGCATATAAGAAACTGGATGACTGACATTGTGTCCTTCACTTTCAGACAAAATGGAATCAATAATGATTTTTACCTGTCAGAATACAGTAGTTTTCACTTCCCGGTTGCCCGAATCGTGGGAGGGTTCTTCTAAAGGTATCTGGAAAGGACATTTTTAGTTGTTCTTCGTGACCTGAGAGCGTGACCACAGTGCCCAAAAGAACTGCTTGCGGCCGGTCACACACGTTTTTGTGGCCTCCGTAATTGTTGAGACCTTACAGCCGGAGATGTAAATCCATGGGACAAGGCGAGGTGTGCATTTTTAGGGTCGACCTTTTCTAAACCCACCCTTTTTTGTGGGAAGGCAGCATCGCTGTTATGCTGGGTGTCTGAAGTAAACGCCTCACTGTCGTCACACCTCTGTACAGTTAGAAGTACGACTTTGCCCTCGAACCTTGGGTTTGCTGCTTTTATTCTTACCGCTTCTCAACCAACTTGTCTGGCATGGTAGGACCTTGAGTAATGATTGTTCAAGCAATTATAGCCCGATTGGTTCATCATGATAGGCGGGTTTGACCACCATGTCAAGGTATCAGCAACAGTCAGGAAAATGAGACTTCCAAATTAAATCGTCCCGTTTTAACAATGGATCACTACCCGAATTCGTCGATTTATTAGATTGCTGAAAGTTAGCAACGCCATACGAACTCGTCTATATTAATTATGATAAAGGATTATTTAACCAACTGTTCGTTGACTTCACATATATATTTGTATATTCAACTTCCTTCCCATTTCTAGTTCTTAATAGAATAACTTAAGTTTTCTAATTCGTTGGTTATTGGCTTGAAATTTCTTATTCTGCTTATCCATTTTGGTCTACTCACAAATAGTATACTTTACGACTATATGGAGAAAAATCGAAATAGACAAATATACGTAAATATATACAGTTAGTATTACATGAATTAAAAAATTCATTAAAATCATCATGTAATAACAGATCTATGACAGACCGAGTCTTTCCATTACTAGAAGAAAGCATGTGAAGTCACAGTACATTGAATACTTATTTTAAAAAAATATCTAGTGTAAATACTGTAGTGGTAGTAGCGTGGTGTATGCTACTTATATCGACATATAACACCAATCAGAAATGGAATGCTTATCAGCACAAAGTAGGGAAGATCTAGTCGAAGAGAAAGGGAATAGAGAGTAATTATTATAACAATAAAGGAACAATGAAGTTTGAGACAATTGATGGAGGATTTATAAAATGAAGTATGGTTTACACATTTTATCAAAGAACTTTGTAATTTTGTAGTTGTCTCTAACATATGTTCTCATTCACAACATTAATACAATTCAATTTCATAATAATTTGGAAGACTAGTATTCAAGTGAAATCATGTACGTTAATCAGTTAATAGTAATAAGAATAAATCCGCACAAATACAGCATATTAATTTTTATTCTTTATGAGTAGTGTAGTGTCTTTCTATTGTCCGACTACTTACTGTATCACTATTACGATGTGAAGTTCTAATACCTTGATGATGTTGGTGGTGATGATGATGATGATGACGATTAACATTTTTGTTTGTTTTCCTCGAATTACTATTTTTCACTGTTGATTGTATCATATTATCAGATAAACATTGTACATTGGTATTGGTTACTATGGATGATGGTATTTCTTGTGATTGTAATAATAGTTTATTTGTTGATTGATTTCTATGTGAAATTAATCGTTCACTAGATGATAATGGTTTCTTTCTTAAATTTACATGATTCTCAAATGAATCAAATTGTTTATGTTGTGTTTCATTTAATTGTTTACTTATTCTTGATTGTATATCATAATTATTAGAAGTAGTTAATTCAGATAATGATTTTTGTTTGGATTTATTCATTTCTACAAATTGTTGATGTTTATTTCTATGATTACGTGATTGAATTGGTACAGCAGATTGTATTATTTGTTCACCAAATATTGGATCATATATACCGCTATCATTGTGTACACGTTTAGGTAATGATTTTGTATAATTAATATTGTCTATAGATGGATAACTGTTTAATAATGTATTTGACTGTTGTCGATTTAAATTTGTTAATGATTGTGGTATATTCAAATCAGTTCTTACCGATGAATTATGGTTATGATTATGATTATGATTAATACGATAGAGAGATTCACTGCCTCTTAGACCTGTTAAAGATTTTTGTTGTATTAATTGTTGTCCTTTTGGGATTTCCGCAGATTTATGCATAAAACATAATCCACATAATGTTGTTTTACGTCGTGATTTTGAATAAACATAAAGATATATTTGTAATAGAATAAAACCTAATAATTGTACTAATATAACAACTAATAAACATGGTAAATAATACCATGATTCAGGATATTGATAATAATCATACCATAGACCAATCATTATAGAATTTTCTATATAATAAAAGAAATAATAAATTAAATATCTTGTACGTGTATATTTTATACCAGCATTAAAAAATTCATATAAACTAATATAAGAATGAAGTAGATCAATGAAGAAATTTTCACAGATATCACCATGCTGTTAAAAAAGGAAAAGAAAAATAATAAAGAATAAATATATTATCAAAAAAGGTTTTTTTTGTGTGAAGATTTTAGTAATTTAATAGTTGAATTCATGAGTCAATAGAGGTTAGACTATCATGGAAAACCTGGAAGCACTTGATAGCCAATTCGTCTTAGTATAAGACTCCTCAAGCAGTGTGCATCCACGATCCCGCCTCGCGGAACTCGAACATGGGAACTTTGATCTCGCGCGTGAACGCTTCATCTCTAAATCACTGAACTGGTATCCAACGGTGTTAACGTCTAATTTCAACCAAGTCACGAAATTACGCCACCGTCTACCATTGTTTGCGCGCGAGACCGATAGGTCATATGTTGGAGTCCCATGAGGCGGGATCGTGGATACGCACTACGGCCGTTCAGTGTTTCCAGGTGTTCCATGGTGGTTTAGCTTTAATTAACTCATGATTTCAATTATCAAGTGAATAAACATATGTTTTATTGTATATCTGTTTAGTTAGATTGGAATCTTGATTAGTGTGTGTTTTAATCGGATAGTATAATATGAGCTTACATATAAACATATCATAATAATTAAGGGATTAAATTATTTTGTTATGTATATGTTTTCTTCAAACTGAATTTTGAACAGTTTTTGTAGATTATCTCGATATACTTATTTGATCACAAGTTATTGAGTATAGATAAATTGTGACTAAAGATGAAGTGTATAATAAGCGTTTTGTCAGCCTTTAAACACATCAGCTGAATGTACTTGCATTTCAGCTGTTGTGTCTGAGCGAATGTGAAACAAAGTGTAACCCTTGAAAGTGATTTATATCCGATTATTATTGTTTTTATATATTTATTACATAGTTAATAAATAAGTTTGTCATTGTATTTCTATCTTCTGCTTATTGTAAGCTTCTTTATGATCTATTAGTTATCATTATACGTCTTAATATTCTCAATTTATTGTTAATCAGTTAGTTACAGTTCGCCTCATCTCATCTCCACTTTATATATAGTTAATGAGTGTTGAAGACAGATTCTGGGCTGGTTGGTTGGAATGTAGTAATAGAAATGTAGCTATAGTCTTTTATTCGAAAAGAAGAAATTGTGTCTACCGGCGGACTAATAAGATTGAAGGTCATGTTAGCCCAAGAAAAAATGTTTGTCAGTCAGATCATATCACTGATTCAGGCTAAGAACGTTTGCCTGTAGTCCGAATAGGGGATGGGGAGTAGAAAAATTATGATCGGAATTGTGACTGGCAAACCTAGAAAGTGATATCGATTAATCTCTCAAACATAACAATAATCAACATGACATCAGCATTTATCAAATTTTCTAGCCCGTCATAGTTATGAAATAAACATCATATCCGTTGAATAAGTTAGTAATTGCTTGAATTCAGTAGCTCAATGGAAGACATGCTGATATTTGAAGTGAAAGATACTTGGTTCGAGTTTTAATATGAACAACTACACTCAGATCAATGTACATCCATCTGACAACCACCAAATAGAACTAAATTCATGCCGTGAGTTCCACTACTAGCTGAAGTCTATCTATTATATGAAATTCAAGAACACAGTTCAACATAAAACCAAATATATAAATATGTACTTGGTAATATATATAACATTATTCACTAAATTCTAGATAATCCTGATTACATGACAGAATAGTCGTGTTAACGCTCGGCTACCTAACGTGAATAAATTGAATCGAATCTATTGATTATTTAGGTATTTGCCTGCCAACAAACTTGATTTTAACCATCAATATTTTGGTTTATAGGAGAACAAATCGACTGATTAGTCGACCGCTATATTCACATTCTCAAGACATCATTCATGAATTCATATGAAAATTAAATTAAATGCTTCAGAAGTTAGTAACATGATAAAATGAATAAGTGTAACTCGTTGATGTAGTACCATTTTATGGACTCACTTTTGATTCACAGAATGAAAATTAGAGTTAGTAATATGGCTCAACTCTTTAATCTGAAGCACTTAAACCTAAGCTTGACCCTGTAGTTTAATCGTTGAATGTGAAGGGTTTCAGTAGCCATTAAATACTAGATGATATTGTAAATTTAAACAAAAAACTATATCCTTTGACATTTGCTTCATACGACTTTTAAAGTAATTTCATTTATGCTGTAATCACTAAAATTTCTCACACTTATAACCAATATCATTTTAGTTATACAAATGTTCATTTTTTCAACGTTATCGAAATTAAAAGATATCATATTTTTATTGGATTATTTCAATATTATATTGAAGCACTGTCCTGACCTTTATCCGGAGGTACCTGAAAAGGAAATTGGATTAGAGGTGGTCCTAGTGACCTGAGAGCATGACCGCAGTGCTCACGGGATAACTGCTTGAGATCGGTCACACACGACTTTTTTATGAGTAATCTTTGTGTTAGCTCCGTACTTGTTGAGACCTTACCGCCAGAGACGGATATCTGTGGGGTAAGACGAAGTGTGCATTTTTAGGGTCGACCTTTTCTAACCCCAACCCTCCTTGTGGGAAGGCAGCATCACCGTTATGCTGGTTGTCTGAAGGAAACACCTTACTGCTGTCACACCTCTATACATTCATCATTACGACTTCACCTTAGGACCTTGGGTTTGTTGCTTTTAGTCTTACCACTCTTCAACCGACCTGTCTGACATGGTAGGTCCTTGAGAAACGATTGTTCCAGCCAGTATAGATCAGTTGCTTCATTACGATAGGCAACCCCGACCACCACGTCAAGATAGTAACAACGGTTAGGCATACACGTTCGAAATCTTATAGAAAAAATTTAAATTTTTAAGAATGGGACTATATCTTAATGATGAATACCAAGTAACATATAACTTAGTATCATAGCTCCTTGCAAATTTCTTTCAACCCAATAAACATTTATATATGGTATTACATATATAATTCAAATGAATAACAATATTAAACAAATTAAAACTTACTGTATTAGTTCGTTGATTTAAATGATCTATATGAGTAGTATATTGTCTAGCAATAATAATTGTTATTAAAACAATTAAAAAATGTCCAATTAATATAATTAATATCATTAGATAAAATCGTCCAGTAAATAATGCAATTGATATACAACGTAATGTAATATGTATTAAATGTATAATAAATAATAATATTAATCTACCAATATGAACTTGTTTAATACCACGTTCAAATTCTAATTCATTTTGTTGATATTGTACTGGATAAAAATGTGTAAAACTTGTACTTATCCATAACATACAAAATATTGTGCATATCAGTAGTATAATTTCTAAATAATAAAAAAAACAAGCAATATTAATTGAATAAGTGATAAGTGAATAATGAAAAAGATCAAAATATGATTCAAAAAGAATAGATCAATATTATTAGTGAATTCACTAAGTAAAACCACCTACCTTCTGTCACTTTACATTAACACTGACCCTATCAACCTTCACTAAATTGAATACTATCTAATATCAACAGTATATCACTGTGTCACATGACACATGCATTTTGGTAGACCTGATTGACATATTTTGGTAATTATTGCTTTCTTGTTCCATGATCACTGTTTCCATTTTACTTTCATTAGTTGTAGATATTGGTCATTAATTCGTTCTGGCACAGGAAATGACCTTAATTACACCATTTATAAATCATCAGGCTGTCCACTTGAGAAAAATTAAAAGTTCCCAGCTGATGCATTGGATTGCTGTAATACATGTACTACCTAAACAATTTCTGAACTAGCATACTTATAACTTTCTTCCATCACATGTTTGTTCTCTACATCTTATGTTACTATTTATATCAAATTGATCATGCCTGTAAACTGGAGTGAATTCTGTAATTATTATTTTCAGAATATATATATATATATATATATATATATATATATATATATATATGATCAGAAGTTAGAATAAGTTACATGGGCCTAACATGGCAACGGACACTATAGCATAGAAAAAAAAGATATATGTTCCATTTTATATTCTACCATGTTCTTATAACTTGATTTGTCAGTGTCAAATTATTCATTTGTTCAGTTGATCGTCTTTATATTCATTAATGATGCAACACTCTTCTATATTTCATGATAGATTAATTATATGTAGAATTAACCATAGTTATACTTAAATGAAATAACCTCTTTGACAATGGTTTTTTCACCTTTTTGAGTCATAATTCATAAGAATATTTTCTAATAACCATCTTATGCAATACACAGTGAAAAATATTTTATATTTATATGATTTCTAATACATACACCCACATGCAGGCGTTTCTAGTATCTGTCCAATAGGGAAGCTACATGTAGAAATTCTTGAATATTCTTCCAAAAGATTATTGGATAGAATATCTCCGGCTTTTTGTGAGTTTCCTAAAGATTCCTTGAGTTCACCCGTGCACTTTCCTCACACTAACTACCTGTAATTTTCTGTGCTCTTTTCTTCAAATGTATCTTTAGTTATTATTATTATTATTATTATTTGTTTCTTTAGGCATTTGCTTATATGCTCACTATTGATTTATTTCGAGAGTTAATTTCATGAATTATAGTGAGTAGTTGTAACAATCTGAATTAAATTATACCAGGCTGAGCTAGCTACTTACTAATAGCATTGAATCACAATTGTGCAATGCCACAAAATAATTTATATCAAAATTTGTACATTTAATGAGTGTTAACACATCAATTTACAGTTTAAGAGCTTTTAATGAATTCTGAGTTTCATGGGTTCCATCCGCATTGATGGAGTCATCAATGAGTACAACAACATTTTAACCCATCTTGATTTTCAATGGATATCTAATTAACATCAATTCCTTATGTAAGCTATCAAAAACAATTTTGACAAATCCCCTAAATACTGATAATGAATTCATAAGTTTCAAACTCAATCTATTTACTTTAATTCAGATATGTTAGTTAGTCGTTAGAATTATATTTACAAGAAAATATGCTTGTACATATGATTGAACAGAGTACTATCTTATACTGAACACTAATGTTTCTTACTATTTCATCAACATCTTTAAGTATTAATACATGTAAATAACAAAGCATAGATATCCAAAAAAATAATCCTAACAGAATAATTATTTCATGCAAAAATGGATAGTGGCTAGCAGTGGAATTCAGGACGCGCGTTTCGTATTATTTGGGACACGTGAGCTGGATGTTGATGTTCACTCTGGAACTCGAACTCAGTACCATCCGCCTTAAACGCCATCGCGTTATCCACTTACCTACTGAGTCCTGATAGCCACTTGGTTGTACAATGGGGTGAAATTTAAATTCACTTGGTATTGTTTCCTTAAATTTTTCCATTGATGTTTACGTCTGCAATTCATCAGTTTTTTATTGGCATATGTGCATATTCTTCATATTGCCTCGATATAGCCTTAATCCACAAGAATTATATTGCAAAGATGGATAGTGGTTAGCAGTGGAATACAGGACGCGAGTTTCGTCTTAATTTATCTCGTCCTATCAATTGCAATCCTAAACATCAATGGGAAGATTCAAACAAACAATACCAAGTGAATTTAAAATAGTTATTTATTTAATTCCTTTTTTCTATTTATACTAATAAAGAATAATAAGATTCAAATAGATACAATAGTTAAGTTACTATGACAAAATATACACACTGAATTGGAACGTTGATTACACTTTCATAACTTCAAAACTCTATATTATAAAAAATATGAAAAGAAATATAAACAAATATTCTCGACAAAATGGAAGAAAGTTTCATTTATTGAAGAATAAAATATTTTAAATAGTTCAATAAATACTATGGTTACCATGACGAATGACAACAATGTTTTCTGATTGGTTAATCCCTATTTGTTTCATTATTACAAAGAGAAAGATTTTGAAAAGATTTTATATTTTATTTTATGCATAATATTGATGTTAAAATAATATTCATCATTAACATGTATCGCTAATTTTAAAAGGAACTACTGTTTATTATGTAATCTTAAATCGTGTCACATAGTGTTGAAAGCATAGATACACCTACTTACATAATAGATCTATAATTAACCTCTTATAGGACTGAAATCTTTTCAGCCAGTCAGCTACATCGTAGAAACAGGCAAATATATGCATCAGTCCAAGTTATCATATCTCATTAGCGCAACAAGATGAACACCGGATTCATAGTAGCAGTTACTTCAGTGGTAGTAAGAAAAGATTTCATATAAGGATATGATACAGAGAGAAAAGAGCCCTATCGGTAGATACACACTATCTGATTGAAATGCATGCGATAACAGCGATCAGTGGTCAACAAGAATCTACTGAAATGGTTTAAAGTCCGTTGCAATCTAACAGATACATTTACTGTATATCTTTCTCCACAACTTGAGCTCCAGCGTTCGTTCATACATACCTTTTCTTCATATCTTTTCTGATCATATTCTCAACGATTAACCTGTTTTATTATTGCTATTAAATTGTTTCATTTCATCGTTCTACTGTGGTATTCTATCTTAAGCCATTAGGTATTTGTGTCAAAACTCTGAATTGACAATGACTGATAACACTCAGTTAATTTCTAGTTGTATACCTCATTAGTTGAAGTGATCAACATTTTAATCATAGCATCTTGATTACTAACTTAGCTCTAATATTATTAAAAGTCTATTCAGCCGTATAGTAATAGTTAAGTTTATTTACAATAAGTACAGATTATTACAGTCAATAAAAGTATTTGTGAAACTAATTAGTATATAACTGAAAAAAAAGAAAATGACAATTTCAACAAAAAGAAAACCCCAGCTTTAACAAAAGAAATTCAATATTGATCAAGATAAGTAATTGTCCTTAACCGGTTCTGAACTGATAGGGTCATGAAGTAAAATGATGATTATTAGTTTTCTTGATCCAAGTATGTGAAATGTTTTATTTTTAAGAAAAAGGTGTACTATTATGTTTAAAAATGAAAGCATTCATCTACAACAAATCGATCATGATGAACTATAAAACTGAATCAGAATAGCTTTAATCATGTGTTTATTTTTAATGATGAAACAATAGACTGAATCATTTGTAAGTTAAACTGTGGTCAGTGGATTTGTAGTAAAATGGTACGAAAGTTGAATTGGTCTCTATGGAGTTAACACGTTCTCAATATAAATTATCGCTATGTAGTGATGGGGAGATATTGAATAAAGTGTATAGACCCAATAACGGGTTGACTAATATTTATTCACCTCCCTCATTCAAAAAGGTAGTAATCCGTTCACTAGCCATTGTAAGTATTTACTAAGTGACCATATTCCCAGTAGTTTTGCAGGTACACCCACTGGATGACCTTGATATATTGGTCAATCACTTTCTGTCTGACTTATTCAGTTTAGTAAATAACTATTATAACAAAATCATTCAGACATTTATTATTTCACAAGTGAACTAATCTACAGATTATATGTACAAAGTTGTTTTATGAACAGAATAATAGTTTCACTAATATCTATCACTTCATATACTGATTTAATTCGGCAGTTAGTCGACACGGTTTAATCACTTACATTCCTCTTACAGTTTTTCTTCTAAAAATTAACTTGTTAGTATGTTTGTGAATAGATTTCTAAAATTCCAGTGAAAAGTGTAGTTCAACCATATCGGGAATGGGATCAGTATAACTGATAACATGAGATGAATATTGTACAATATAACCGGTCGGAAATGTGAACCATAGATGTTAATTGAGTTGCTTTAACATGTCCGATTTGTCAGGTCTACAGGTTATAAGTTTGATCCAGAGTAGAGCCAAGAGTGTGTGCTATTAAAGAGTCTGTAGTGTTGGTTGCTATGTCAAGCCCACATAGCCTTTTATACCGTCCAAACAGACCGATTTATTCATTCTTCTTGAGTCATATTTTGACCTTGTTAATTAATCGCTTATCAACCTTGACTGTTTTTATATGACAGTAGGTGTGTTAACTTCTTATCCTATTCATCACATATCTGTAACTAATTTTTATTCGGCTACAAACATAGGTTAACGATTGATTACATCGAGTTGGCTCACATGGTTTTGCTTTCTTCGCTTCGTCTCTCTGGTTGTCTGTCCAGATCAATATGTGTACAAACATACACATTCAAAAATCCATTCTCTTATTTGGCTTATTTCATTCTGTTATTCACTAACGTGGACTAAGTCAATAATTATATACGAGGATTGGTAACATGTATATTTCAATAGCAATCAGAAACGATTCAATTAGAGTCAGATATATGGCCACTAAAAGTTATGAACTTGAATAAAACGCTTGTGCTGATATCTCATGATTGTTGATCGATATTTAATTGCGGCCTTTTTGTCTGATATAGGAATGAACTTCAAAAAGTAATCCGACTTGTTAGCTAAGTTAATGTGTAACTTTTCAATGATCATCATTAAATGTTATTCATACATGTAGTTATTATGTGAATTCATGTATACAATTTTAATATACAATGACAATAATAATAACGAAGATACTTTTCAAAACTGACTAATTTCATAACTTCTAAAAACCTAATAAGAACTAGATCCTTGATCTTAGTTTATATGGAGATCCTCAAACTATGGAAATTAAAGAATACAGATATGAATAATAAAAATTTGACTAGTCAACTATAGTGAAATATTCGAAGGGTCTTAGACATTATCAGTCAGCTTATAATTTATATAAACTTATCTAACTTTACGTTGATCATTTTTACTGTATTTGAACTATGAATAATATATTAATACAACAAGTCATTATATGTAGCAAGGAATTCGCTTAACTTTACAAAACCACGCTTAAATGACAATTTGGCGAAACTATAATTTATGCACAAACCAATCAGATATAAGATAACAGGTCTTGGATTTTGGCGCAAAATTTATTCATCCATAGTGTTTTGGCATTTTAGCTGATGTTAGTTCGTGATGAAAACCCTAAATCTAATTCCTAACCCTAACCATCAACTGTAGATCATAATCCTTATTGTTCACACAGGTTTATAACTCTCGTTTAGCTCCAGTAAGCAGATGGATATTTTCAAAGTCACTTTAGAGTCGTTCAAAGGTCATCCATGAATTATAGTCTCATCGACAATATTTTAAAACTGATTTTGAATGTACGTAATCACTTTTGGAATTATATTTGGAGATGACGAGTATAAAACCAGCAAAGTTTTCGGAAAACGGAAAGGAATACATCACTTAAATTTTCTTGATAATTTCAAAATCAGAATGGGGGTATGTGAAGATTACAGTAATTTTAATAGTTGAATTCATGAGTCGATCTAATCTAGACCACTATCGAAAACCTGGAAACACCAGATCTTCATGGTTGAGGAGTCCCATATTAGGACAAAACATCCGTCCAGTACCTCCAAGTTTTTCATAGTGGTCTAGCTTCAATTGACTCATGAATTCAACTATTAAATTACTATAGACTACGATTATACGATTTACTATTCTTAAGTTATCCCCAATCTATTAGTTTCAGTATCTTACATTCATAGCCACTTCTGACTTGATCTTGTATAATTGTTATTTTCTATTTTATGGTGTGACACAGTATGATTTGGTTGACTATAAACTAAGTATGTCTGAAATATATGATATTAGCGTTCTGGACTGAACAGGGTGGGTTAGGCGAGAAACTACTGTGACAAAAGACCAATAAGAACTCAGAGTTGACTCTAGGCTACTTGAACTGGTTAATGTACCATTGGTTTGGCACAGTGTCAAGGTCATATAAGTCGGTGTTCTAATTGGCGATCCAGTCTCATGATATTGACGGGCCGTAAGAACATAACCATTTTTTTTGTTTTATTTTCTGCAATATACATTATCCAGTGTTTTCAAGCTTAAAGAATGTGACAACATTGGAATAATCCATCAAAAGCATAAATTCTCTACATCAAACCATGTTAAACTGTAAACATTTAAACTACCTGATACCAACCAATCGGCCAGTCAGCCAAACCTCATAAAACTATTGATATCAGAACCTTGATTCGTTGAATTTACATATAATTAGCATAGTAAATTAGAAATATATAAACTAAACGAATTTTGAAGTGAGTGCATGAAGAAAATACAATCATAACTAAACATACTGACTATATTTAACTACGTAATTTTTCATTGTAGAACAAAGGATGAATGATTGTTTTCAACTCTAGAAAATATTTGTTACGTAGGGTTTTTAAATGAAAAGTATTTTGGGCATAAGTATAATTCATGAAATTCATGGAAACAAATACAATACCAATAAACAGGAGTAGAATTTGAAACGAATAATGATTAGACACTTTCCATTGTGGAAAGAATTATCTTATAATCTGTGTTGTTTTATATTCTAAGCTTGGTTGGTTAATTGTCTAACCCTTGAATAGATTAAGCTAGGAAACCATCGGATATGTATTTGATAGCAGTTGTGAATCAGTATAGGTCGTTTCAAAGGTATGTGAGTAGTTGTCACTCCTCGATTGCCTGCAACTTGGAAGAATATTATTTCTTGTTGAACCCGAAAATGAAATTTGGTTCGGGATCTTAACAACCTGTGGACTTGACCCTAGTGCCTAAAGGACAACCACAGGAGGCCGATTGCATATATCCTTTTTGTCAGTATTTTCAGGTGAATTAGCCCAGTAGTTTTATGGTCTTACTATAAGCGACGAAAATCTGAGAAGCGAGGTGAAATGTTTATTTTTAGAGCTAATTTTTTCTAACCCTCTCCTTACTTTGTTGAAAGGATGCATCACTGCAGATACTGGTTATCTGAAAAAAGCACCTAACTGCTCTCACATCCTAGTAGTACGACTTTAGCCGCCCACTAGCCATGAGCTCATTGCTTTCCAAACAACCTGAATGACATGATATGATCAAAAATGACAGGGTCATCATGATATACAGGATTAAACACAGCTTCAAAGGGCGATGTTAGCATGAAAGTAAGATGGCGGATAGCTTGAGGCACCCACCAAAATGTGATATTACTTCATGAAGTAAGTTTTAGCTGGTTTGAATCACGTTTGTAGATCCAGACTACCCAGTGAAGGCCTGCAATCAGTGGTTAAAGATATTGGATGAAATTGTTCAGTATCAATTATAATGAAGCAGATACCTACACCGATTTTCTTTCTCTTGGCTCAAAGACTCAGTACTCCTTAACACATATCTTTCTTTCTAATTTTTTTGTACCGTTGTGTATTTTTCATTATCGTTTGTACTCTTTTAGTGGATAGATGATATTCATTTTAGTGTGTTGTAGCTTTAATCAATAGTTTACAACTGCCAGTCAGAACATTTTATTCGTCTGTAGAGGAAAATGACTAGACATTAAGATTTATTGTATGTCATGAGTTTCAATGAAATCCAGAGTGACTCATTACAGTTAATAGGACTAAGTATATTCTAAATTTGGAAATAGGATGCTCTTTGTGATATTTACATGTAAGATTAATACTTGAATAATGAATTTCCAACAACTCACTAATAAATTCGTATTTCAGGGGAGTTAATAGAACGTAACTTATCAGGTTGATCGTATGCATTAAATATCAGTTAAAACCTAAAAGCTAACATTAATCATTAAGATGTTTATTTAATTCATGGTTCTGTAGATGATAATCTTTCTAATTCTAAAGCACATTTATTTAAGCTTAGCTAGTAACAATTGAAAATATTCGTTATGAATAATCAATATTAACTGTGTCTTGGAGACTATCTTCGAATATCCAATATCAATTCACTTTAGTTATTGAGGATAATGTTGGTGAATCCATAATGTAAGCCATCAACTTCAAACTTCTATGGTAATAATAATATGTTCACAAGTAACTAGCTTCAAGAAGTGATTCCTGTAGTTGTAGTGTGAAGCTGCCACTAACGGGGTACAATCCTATTGGGTGTAAAGTGCTTTCTTATCTATTACAAAAAAGGATAAGATTGTGCAATATAGTGAATTGATTGGATTTTAACATGTGAACATTTAGATGCCAATATGGTGGTCTGATGGTAAAGTGACTAACATGAAATCTAAAGGTCCTGGATCCGATCCTCAGTGAGGAAATAAACTTTCACTAGTGAAAAATCACACGCTAGAACAAAACAGCTAACCATTGCTATCTGATTTTCAATAATTTTCTGATGAAATTCACTTTGTAATATTTAAATTATTCAAATATAATTTAACAAAAATTCTATAAAACAAAAACAACTTATCAAAATTATGAAAAATACAGTTTACTTACTTGTATCAAGTGTCATAAAAAAGAGCATTGTTTCTCTTCTGTAGAACAATATACCTTGAGCTATTGCATACGGTCCAGCACCAATTACACCACTAGTTAAAGCTATGATAGCTGCATCATGTTCTGTACGACAAAATTGACGTCTTACACGACGTACACATTGAAGACCAGCATCTAACTGTTTCATTTTTGCAGGATTATCTAAAATTTTGAATAGAGAAGAAATAAAATACAAAGTTCGGTTAGAATTTTAGAAAATAAAAAAAAAACAATCCTTGTTCAATGTCAGTTTTTTGTGTTGATTAATCAATTAATAATCACTAATAATGATGGAACACTAGGGTTGATGATATGGTAAAGTTTTGAATAACGAATGAACTACCCTATTAACAAAAGTTAGTAGATAAACTATCAGGTATATCCATTTGGTATTATTTACTTGAATATTCCCATTGATGTTTAGCACTGCAATTGATTAGTCTCTTAGCGGTATATGTGCATACTTTGCGTATTGCCTCAATATAGCCTTAATTCACACCATCGCACAAGCCAGTGGCTATCAGAGCTCAGTAGCTAAATGGATAATGCAATGGCGTTTGAAGCGAACGGTACTGGATCCGACTCCCAGAGTAAACATCAACTCTGATATGCAGGTACATCCAGATGACAATTCTCAAATAAAACAAAACGCTCCTCCTGGATTCCACTGCTAGCCATTATCCATCTTTGCTTATCAGGTATATCAACCACTTAACATATTTGGCTTTCAAAACTCAATACCTAAACGAAGATCAAGATCTTCAGAATACTCACAAGAAGTGGCTTATATTAAGTTGCGAAACTCCAGAAATATAATTTTATTTACTTATTAGGATATAACTCTCCAATGTTCAATTTATTTAAAAGAAGATCAAGAAAGTGTGCTAAGTGCTTGATAAATATTTATCAAATTATTTTGATTGAAACAGTTATGAGATATTCTCAGAAGTATCGAACGATGAGTAAAGAACAAGAAATTGGTATTTATTTTTACATAAAATGGAAGAAAAATCAACCCTATAATAAATTTCAGCCTAGAGAAGGTTCAACCCGGAAAATATCACAGCAAATCATGGAGTTTATTAATAACAATAAAAAAACAACGACGAGAAAATGACTTTTATCAAGTAAGAGTTCATAAATTGTCTAAGATATATATATTTAGGCTGTGAGATTGTAGGAGAAAACTTTCGACCTAGATTCCATGTGAATTGATCTTCATCCATAAAGACTATCTGAACTCTGGAAGGAATTCGTACTCCCTGTGAGATTTGCAATTACATCAACCAGCTTCACAGTTTAGCAGGTTACACCTAAAATATTTGGATAGTAACTAACCTCCTGAAAGACTGAAGCACTGCCCTACATTATATATTGTTAAATAAAATAAAACTTGTAAAACAAAGAATAAAAACTAAATGAGTTTCATGTTGTATAATGAATTATAGACTGTTAAAAAGTATTCAGCAAAATAAAAATCCAACAGTACTGAAGTGTATTTTACATTCTAAAACATTGGTCTTCATTAATGTCGATAGAAGGTTATTAACTGTTTTCCTCTCAATAGTTTATTTCACTATATTGTAAGCTAAACCAATACAATGACACTCATGTTGCGTATATGTATATAAATTATTATCAAGTATAATTTGCTTTATTGTAACAAATCATTTAATAACAGAATTGGGAGTTTGTGGAGATTGTAGTAATTTGGTAGTTGAATTCATGAGTCGATTAAATGTAGACCACCGTGGAAAACCTAGAAGCACTGGAAGGCCATTTCTTCCTGGTATGGGACTCCACAGCAGTGCGAATCCATGATCTTGAACTCGGGACTCCGACCCAGAACCTTCAATCTCGCACGTGAATGCCTAAGCTCCAAACCACCGACCCGAAATTCAATGGTGTTAATGTTTAACCACAACCATCTTTCATTGTCTGAGGTAGATACCTGTGTCTACCTGACACGGACTAGCTGCACTGATCACGGCTTCTCATTAGAACTCCAACAATGCCCTCATGAAACTGGTCACTAGTGAACAGATATCAATTATCAATATGGAGTTGTGGAGATCGTTACTATTAGATAGTTAGTCAGGTGGTCTTACGTGCTGTTATATGTATGAGTGTGTTCACCACATCCCAATTGTTAACAGCGTAAACGGACATTTAAAATGCCATAGTAAAAATCAAATATAATTAATTAAACATTTTAAATTTTAGGATAATCTGTCATAAATTACTTACTAGTAATATCAGGTGTTTTCCTTTGTTGTGATAATTGAGTATTTGTTATTGGTACACTAATTAATGATCCACTTGGTAGATTAGATGGTTGTTGAACTTCTTTAACTAAGGCTATTGTTTCAGACATATATTGTTTTTCTAAACTAATCATTCTTCTTACTACGACCAAAGATTCAATATATCTTGAAATAAAAACATGTAAAATGTTGACATTTAAATAATTGTATAAGATTAACGAAAAATCCAAATTATTCAAAAAAATTCACTTGGAGTTGTTTGCTTATATCTTTCCGTTGCTGTAACTAAGTGGATAACGTGATGGCATTTGAAGCGAACGGTACTGAGCTTAAATCCCAGAGTGAACATCAACTCTGGGATGCAGGTACATCCAGATAACAAGTCTCAAATAAAGTGTAACGCGCGTCCTGGATTCCACTGTTAACCACTATCCATCTTTGTTCAAACAAATGTTTGTCTTCAAATGACATTGAAAGATTTCAGAAACGTATAAAAAAGTTATAAATAATATAAAGACGGAATCAGTGTATTTGTGGCGTATAACAGCAGAAGGCTAAGAAGATCAAGTTGAATTGGAGGAAACTTATAGAATGTGAAGAACAAGTGATGGAAATTTGCAAATAAAGTATTCAGTGTATCGTTCTCATATTTAAAAAGATATTCTACAATTTTGTATGAACTAATAAATTAGTTGTTCCCACCTAAATGTTCGTTCGTTACGTATTTTTTTGGACTAAATTGAAAAGTATTCACGTTTTTTAACATGTTGGTGTTCAACTTTGCCAATTAGATTAATTTTGAACAATGTTACTGGAAGATTCGAATCAGTATATTATACAATGATTACTACAATTGTAACGAACGAGAACATATTACATAATATCTTGGTAATATCTGAAAACTATAAAGTAAATACTTCATTTGCAAAATATCCATCAATTGTCTCATACTTTGTTGTTCTTTGGATTCCATACCAATCACTCTCTATTCTCGTTCTCTTCTATTCGATTTTCTCAATCTTCTGCCACAAGGCATTTCACTTTCGATTGGTGATACATACTACTTATATCTGTCGACATCATAAGCGTACGCTACACTACCACTAGTGAAACGATGGCAATCTCAATATGCTAATTTTCTACATATAGACTAATTTAATTAGATTTAATATTCAATTGTTGATTTCTCAATGAGTCAATAGAAAGTTGCTCAGTTGAATAGTATGCTTATTAACATTTATCAATATGATCTAACTGTAACATTAATGAAATTCATAATTATTCTGGTTTCATAATGCTGTAAAAAATGATGAATACTTATTTTATTGTCCCAATTAAAGCCAATTCAAATGAGTTTTCAACCTCAGTCGAATACAACGGTATCAATACTTTGTTTTTAGTAATCGACAGCCATGTTTACAGTTTATACATCAATCATAGTTTGAGCTTTATTATTTATTTCGAGATGAAAGACTGTATTTGATCAATATCTACTGAGATATGTACATACTTAGTGTTATTAAGTTCGAGCCCCTCTGTAAATACTGACATTTGGATTCAGGTAAATACAGCTGACCAGTCATGAATATAATGAAATGAGCAATTAAGATTCCACTGCTAACCACTATGAACGTTTGCTAAAATATTAACTGTCTTCAAAATCGATATAAATCCTCAATAAGACTGTAAATCACTTCATTACAAGTACTTAAATGGCACGAACTAAAATTTCTTTTGAGAACTAATCTACTTCATGTTCTCATCGGTTCTGTAAATTGTTATTCATTTCAATTCGTATCCTCATTTATTGTGATTTGATTATATCAGTCTTGTAATTAATGTGTTTCATTTAATAACCTAGATGACTTACTTATACTTTCATACAATCATATAAGACTAGTCATTTTAAACTCTTTCAAACGCTTTAAAATGTATTTAAGTAATAAAATAAGTTGGATTCTATTAAACAATAGATCTGCTTCAAATGAACTAACGATTTAAAAACGAGCTATCGTTTAGTACCTAATGTCTAAGCGTTATTTTTGCGAATAAACAATTCAACTTTCACATAAAAACAACTCATACCTGTTTTGAAACATAATCTAAACACCACCCATCTGTTCAAACCAAGATAGGTCAAGTGGGATTTAGAACATGAAATTCACAAGTTGAAAATTGAGTAATTAAACCATCCCTCTATTGTCTTATCATGGATTCATATGGTATCTTAATAGATTACACTGATTACAAGTAAATATGTTGTAGATTTCTTCTTATTTGTAAGAAACGTTGACAATAAGTATAGAATCTCCAAGTTTCTACATTAATCAGTAACAGTCGAATCTTACATTTCACAACACAATATACGTTATGTTGAATCCCTTAAACTAATGACTATAGTATAATCCAATTGACAGAACTCATTTAGTACCAAGAAACTATACACACATGGCATTACCTAGCACTTAGTAACCACCAGTTGATTGTATTTATGTGAACATGTTTTGAATAATCTAATTTAACTTATATTCAATACTTGCTTATTGAGTAACCAGAGCATTGTGAAGTAAACTCTTTAAAATTTCACAATCTATTCAATTTCTTTTTAAACATATTTTCTTTATGTGCACCCAAATGAAATAGAAGTTTATATTTATGAATAATTAATCAGACTATTTTATGACCTAAATGGATTTTTTTTTCTATTCAGGCTTGAATAAACTCTTAAGAATGAACTAAGTTACATAACAGTATATATATATATATATATATATATATATATATATATATGGTTAAATATCAGTTATATTACGATTAACAACGGATCGATTAGATGATTTATGGAAATATGTTCAATATATGAGAAGAAACTTTTGAATTATTTAAACTTGTTACATAAGAGTTGAATAGTGCTAATTAGAACTGACATAAACATATGATTTAATAATTGAATTCATGAGTTAATTAAAGCTAGACCACTATGAAAAACATGGGAGCACTAGATGTCCGTTTCGTCCAAGTATGGAACTCCTCAGAAGTGTGTACCCACGATCCTGCCCCGCAAGCTTCGAACCTAGGACTTATAGGTCTTGCCCATGAACTCTTAACCTTTAGACCAATGAGCCAGCATCCAATATCTAACTTCAATTGACTCATGAATCCAACTATTAAATTACTATAATATCCACAAAACCGCTCTCTGATTATAAACATATGATTATTTAGAAAAGTAAAGATTGTGTTGGTAACAAGAATATACATTTGTATAATAACAATAAATATGTGTATGTGTGTACTATTTCTAGTTCGGTTTAATTGAATTCTATATCATAAATGAGTAGAAAAGTTCTCAAATTTTTCAGTATTGAATAGGATTCTGAAAATAGTTTACGTTACATTTTTCTTCTAATGAAGTTAATAACTTGTAATCTTGATCATAATTATTCAATAAAAGTATATTGTTGCTTAAAATCTGTTCATTTTTAAATTACACTGTGATTTGTGCTATTGATGTCGATAGATATAAGTAGTATGTATCATCAATCGAAAGTGAAATATCTGAAGGCAGAAGATTAAGAAGATCAAAGAAAAGAGAACGAGAACAAAAAATGATTGGTGTGGAAACAAAGGAACAATCAAGTCTGAGACAATTGATTGACATTTTGTAAATGAAGTATTTACTGTATGGTTCTCAGATTTTACTAAGAGGTTCTGTAATTTTGTATTCGGATACATTCGAGTGACTCCACTTGTGTTCTCATTCACTACAACACTAGTTCACACAAAATTTCAAATACATTTTATTTGTATGCTCTCTTAATGACTTTTCTAATCATTCGAACGGACGGTTACATTGAAAAGTAGATCTGTTATAAACAATCTAGGATCTGACAAAATTGTGCATAGATACACTTTGTCATTCTACATGAGTAAAAACAGATTAAGTCAATAGAATGCTTGGCAAAATTGTCTATTAAAAACTTGTGACAGTGAAAAAAAGGACTAATTTTAAGCTCTCTACGGTATAATTCAGTACAAGTCAATAATAAAACATTTAAGTTAAATTATAAACTTTAAGATTAGAAATAGATTTTGTTAGTTTACCTTGCAATTGGAGCCATTCCTAAAACTGTCAATGTAATTCGCATAACTACCCATGCTTCTTTATTTTGTTCTTGTATTTTTGTACGTTGACGTTGACTTGATGCATTCCAACGTCTCCAATAAATGATACCATCAACAATACCCGTTACTTTTATTCAGAACAATAAAAAATTGACAGAGAATAATTGTATTTTTATCTTAGGTATTTTATTAAGTACCATGAATACATAGACCACTAACTGATCAACATTTAAGCAGATTGAATAGATTTATTTATTTATTGAAACACATAAACATAGGTACAAGAAGATACCAAATAGATATGCTCTACATAAATCATTCGATTTGTGTGAGGGCTAGAATATTGCTTGGGTGCCCAAACTGAAGCAGGTAGACTGAATAAATGGATTGTACATACCAGTAGAACAAAAGACTTTCATCTTATCCTATTAGTGACTCATCAGCTGAATGTACCTAGATCCAAATGTTGGTATTCACACAAAAACGTGAACCTAATGGATTTCATTCAAAACTCCCAATATGTTATCCACTCACCTACTGAGTTCATGTGGCCACTAGATTATGTAGCTCAGATATATTTTGCTTCATTTATAAGTGTTAAAATCTTTTCACTGTTGTTTTTGTTAAATTCTGTAAACGATCGGTCTCTTTTGGGATAAATGGATCCTGTGACAGTTTTCTCATTATTTCTAAGTCAACACCAACGCTGACATGTGAAGTATACTCAGCTGACAAATCGTAGATTCCACTACTAATCACTATAAAAATGTGCTTAAAAATGCTTGTGAATAATTATATAAAATATGATAATCTTCTCCCGGTCCAAATATATCAAAAGAGACTGATAAACTCCAGTCTTGAAGAGCGAAATGAGTAAGGTCCAAACATTTACAAGTAGAATAAAGAAGAATAATTGTCGAAACTATAATTTATGGATGAACCAATCAGGTATAACATAACAGCTCTCGGATTTTGCAGCGAAATTCACTCATCCATTCGACTAAATAGAATTTTGGCATTATAGCTTATGTTAGATCGTGATGAAAACTCTAAATCTAATTTTTAATCCTAACCATCAACCATAATTCATAATCCAAATTCCTCACACTGGTTTATAACCATCATTTTTTCTTAGTTATTAGATGTACACTCTTAAGGTCACTTTAGCGTCGCTCAAAGACCTTCCATAAATTATAATCTCACCGAATAATTCTGAAGTGATTCAAAATTACTTTCAGTTTTAGAAACTTTCAGCCTATGCTAACACAACACTACAAAGTGTAATGATAGCACGGATTCAGCTCCAGATTAACGTTGATATTGTGTATTTATTTTCATCAGTTAGTAATTTGCATACAACAAAATATAAATTTTTCGGTAAAGTTTTTAAAGGAATAATACGTGAGATATCTGTCTTTTTCATTAATATTTATCAATAAATGAATTTGTTTACTCACTTATATATTGTCCAGCTATTAGAACCGAAACTGAAACAGATAGCTCTAAAATACTTTCATTTGTAAAATTTATCACATGTAGTACAATAGTAGCCCATGATGTAATCAAAAATCCCATAAACACAATTATGGATATGATTTTACGCCAAATACCACGGTGTGCAATCAGATCAGCAGAGACGCTTGCTGCTGAACTTAGATTTGTATAAGCAACACCACCATATGATTGATAAGACGACATGAGTTGTTTTAGACGTCCGTTTGTGTTCTATATTTGTTTATTTTGAATTTTCACATTTCAACCAACTAGCTGGTGTATTTCTAAAAAAATGCATTTGAATTAAACAGCATTTACAAAATAAGGAATGGTACAAATACATGAAATTTACAAGTGCGAGTGCACAATAATGTAAGCCATATGAACCTAGTATTAAATTACAGCGATGGAAAACCAACAGGTTTGCAATAAAAATTGAGCACAAATAATTTTTAGGAGAGCTGAAACACACTTCAGAACTCCTGCCGACGTAAAAGTTCATGAAACCTATTTCCTACCTGTTCTAGTAGATGTGGTTATTTTTCTGATATTATAGAAAGATAGCCGATAAACTAACAGGTCGTAGCAAAATTATCCTCAGTAAACAGAAAATAAATATTCCTACTATAACCAAAGGATCTCTAAATGAAAATAGTACATAAGCCGAAACAATCATTTTGTCCTATCCGATGTAGGCTGTAAGACACAAAGGCGAAAGAAAACAAATGCAGCATCTACGAAATAAATAGAACTAACCACGTACAGGAATACAGACTAGTTGTAAAACAAGCGACGTTTTATCTATCATATCAATCCATACAGAAACTGGGAAAAGGTCTAAGCTTTTTAACAAGAAAAGTCAGAGAGTATCAAACGTTCTCCGAAACTTTATCATTCAATCCAATATGCTTAACAGTTATAAAGTTACTAGCCCTATATACCGAATGGCTAGAGTTCGAACAAATAAGGCAGTCAAAAAAGTACAAAGACAAATTAAACAAATCAAAATTCATAAGATGACTAGATACATATGAAGTCACCAAAACAAACTGATTAAATGTTTGTATAATAACTAAACAGTTCATCTTTGCGTGGATTTGGCACTCATTATTTCATCCAACTATGACGAAAGCTTGAAAGTTAAATCACTCAGCCTAAAAAGTACGGTACAACCCAAATATTTAGTAATTTTACGTAAAACTAACTTACAGACTTCAAACAAAAAACAAGTGGTTCTTTTGAAGTTTTAATCATCCACTTTTATAAACTCAAAATTCTAATTTCCTTAAATAGTGGAAAAACGTAGTGGAGGACACCAGTATATCATAGAGTCTTAAACACATTTGTTCAGTGATCTTAGAAGTAGTTTCTAAATATTTCAGGATCCCAAACCCTGGCTGAATAAGTTCATAGAAATAAGGTAAGCCCAGAATTATCAACATTTAATAAAATATTTCACAGCAAAGGTTTTTGGTTTGAACATGAATTTTTTTAGATTTGATACAACACATGAAATCGTTACATTAGAAATAAAATACTGGCTAATTAAGCAATAGGCACTTTCATGTGTGACAAAATATCTTATGTAAATTAAAATTGCTTGGATGAATGTCCGAAATCTCGGCAACCAGATAGTGAAAGACATTTTGTTTAGCTTAGAACTGAATTGGGTTTAGGTTAAGAAACTAACAAAACTTAATTGATTTTCAATCTAAAGTTGATAATAAAGTATCAAACTATGAAACGCCATACAAAATATATCTATTGAAGATATTATTATCAATCTTGTAGTCCATAGCTTTATTTACTAAATAAAAAAGACTATACGGACATTTAGTCGTAATAGATTTTTCATTCATTAAACTTTAAGAAATATCAGTTATCAAGTATGTAAATGTTTTCCAATCTAGTAACCCTCAAACTAAGCGCTGATTTGTTACAACTTCAATATTTTGGTGATATTTAGGATAATTGCTTTTGACCGTTAAGTCAGGTACCTGAGCTGCTTATTTCCCTTTGCTTATCTCCAATAGTCTGCTATTTCAATTGATCATTTGCATAAGTACACATGATATTGATTTTTAATGAGATTTGGTCAATTCCTTAAATTTTCTTCGAAGCAATTTTCGAAACTTGTTATACAAAGAAGAGTTACATGTTTTGTGCAAAATTCACTTGAATTCAAACATAATGAACACTGTAGGTTCAACCATAATGATGCAAAACGATTTGTGTGATATTGAATGATGTCAACCAAGTATATAAATATTAAAAACAGCACTGGAATTAAGTTAACACCAGTTGACCACTCCAGTTAGTAACAAAAGATAAGAAATTTAAAATCTTCACAATACACATCGTGTTCGTGCTTTAAAATGGCTGTACTGTAAATTCATAAATCAAGTCAATTACTCTATTTTGTAATAGATTGACACAAGGCGATTGTTGAATAATTTTAAGTCACTTCAGAACAAACTTTTCATTGGTAAACTACTCCTTATAAACCAGTGACTCATAGAGTTTTTAATTATTATTAAAAGTGACTGTGGAGAAGCATTTTAAGAAAAAGCTTGAAACCTCTAGACAACTATTTGACCGTTTAAAACAATGTATGAAGGGATTGACAAATTCTCCCACATAAGCAGCATTTTAGTGGCGCATACCAAACTTTTATGCTAGTACCTAGACTAACGAATAAAATTTCTGAGCAAATATTGTTAAACAATAAAGTTAACGATTGTTGAGGCATATAAAACTGGTAAACTAATTGGATAGAATTTTCGTTCGGTGGATTTTATTCGAGATAAGATATGGCATGATTTATTACAAGTATCCCTAAGACCACATTAGACTAAAAATAAAGCATACTACGGATAAAAGGTTTTATTTTATGTAAAGCGTTATTATTTACGTAGAATTTGATTGAATTTAAAAGCACGTCCATTTTATAGTGCCTACCCCGAATGGAGCAATAATTTGTAGATTTAGTGGAAGAAAACATTGCAGCACTATAAGACTTTCGTGTGGCTGCATTTGAAATATGGTATTCAAGCAGTGAGCCCTTGTTTCAAGTATGAGGCAGATATGCTAGAACAGGTTCAATGGCGAGAGACCAAAATGGTAAAAAGACTCTCTGGGCCATCTTATGAAGACAGACTGAGACACATCAAATTATTTCCGTTATCGTACATCAGGTAACGGGTCGATCTAACATTGGCTTAAGGTATACTGAACGATGACCTTCTTATTGATATATCTTATATTTTCCTTCCATCTAGGACTGATTACCTGAACGGAAATCCTAAGAAATCCTCTACCAGAACATGTAAAACAAACACCGTCTACTGATATATTAAAAGCAAGATAGAACCTCCACATCGATAGAAACTGCAAGAGTTAATATTAGATCGTTTGACCTCACATATCTACCACTGAAGACTGATATGGATTCAATTAAGTGTAAAACTTAGTTACCAGCAGACCACAAAATGTTTGCTTTTGCAACCAAATGAAGCAGCCTAAAATCATATTTACATTGGCAGTCAAAGTTAGCAGTAAAAAAATAATTGTGAATTTTTTATTAATCTATAACCTAACACACAACCGCATTTTAAAATACTGGGTTTTTTCTTCCAAGTCAGTGATAGATTATATATGTCCTATCACTGTAGTTAGCAAGTGGCTAAGATATTTGATTTTTTTGCTAGTTAATACTACTTATATTATTCTTTGTTTTGGTACTTATGTAAAAGTAGAATGTAATTCGTTAAATTTTCTTCGGGATATGACTAGATTTTATAAAGACTAACTCAGGACAAAAAAGAGAAGACCGAATATATATATATATATATATACTGACATCTAAATTTTGCTTTCATCTTTTACTTATTATTGAAAGAATTGACTTTTCGTTTCAGAAAACGAAGACGTACCAATTTCATACAAGTTAAATACTGATAACAGAAAACGCTTTCGGAAACCCTATGTCATTGACTAACAGAGAGTGCCAAAAAATAAGCATATGTTCGTCGTCAATCTGAACTTTTGAACTTAAGCACAATGAACGTGGACATAAATTCACTATATAATAGCACATGATATACTGCGTAACATGTTCTACAAACTATTATAAATATTCCAGTGAAGAGTATAAAAATCACACCTAAAATGCGTGATCACAAATAAATTGAAAATGTAAATAATGCAATAATTCAATTATTATTTTAAGCATTCGCCTCTAATATCTAAACTTCCAGATATTTGGAACTTCAGCCAAAATCATTAATTTTAAAGTACTTAGTCCCAAAACACGTAGGCGATATAAAAAAAACGTCAGCAGATTAGACAGATGGACATTAATTAAATGTTTCTCACAAAAAATGAATACTATCAGGAAACCTGAAATCCGTATCTTGCGGGGCTTACATTTACAATAGACACATGATTATTCACACATACAAACAAGTCACTTTGAAGTTTGAATCCTGACAAGAAGTATAAATAGAGCTATCTATTAAATTTAAACCATAGGAAAGTTTATCATATCAATTTTTAGCGTCACTTTTTTTGCTATATAAGTATCATGCTGAAGTAATCGTTTGTTGGGATTTTTCGACTTCATTAACACATATATGTGTATTTATTGTCTCTTCTAAGCCAATAATCTGCCTCACATTTTACTCTTCTCTCTTGAAGAAGCTCACATGGTTTGTTCTTGCTTTATATTTGGAACCTGATGGTAAAGAAATATAGTATGTAGCAACTACTGGAGTAGTCAACGCTTTCTGAAATCAAACTATGATACATAGGAAATATGAGCTAAAAAGAGTAGATTCCTAAAGTTATGCAATAATACTCTGATCAAATTTCTAGATTTTAATTCCTAACGTCACTGTTTGTGAGTAAATCTATCATATATATATTTGTCTATATGACAAACGTGTTATGAATATTTTTTTGTTCATTCCTATAAAATAGAAAAGCTTTCAGGACTTCGCTTATAGCAGATAAATAGTAGTAAAAGCTTAAAAACACGGCGTCTACTGGTCGATTACATGTAGAATAAGGCCACGCTGACCACTGAAAGATAGAAACGTTGAAGTGACTGTAGATGTTGCTTGAAAATTAGTAAATTCCACAATCTTGAGCGACTAGCAGTGCTTCATTATATCCATTAAATAACCAATATTTCTCTGTGTCATTTCGACTAACAGGATATAATTAGGAGTTTTACTGAACTACTTTGTCAAACTAGTTCTTATAGACATTGGGGTTATCTCCCAATGTTCACTGTTACTAGTTATCATTAAACGTCGAATCCAAGATGTATTGATATAACATCCATCTACATAAAATCCTACATAAATCAAGGTTGTTTCTGATACAGATGTTTTTCATTATGTCGTCAAGAGGAAGATTTTATTTAGAAGTCGGAGATTCAATAATGCTTCAATCGAATGAACTGTATAGATAGTTTAAAAGCCGTTGAGAAATGGAAATAGCTCAGACACCTGTTGTTCACCAACTACATCAAGCCATTTATATATCATTTTTTGTCATATTTAGGTTTTATACAAAATTTCCGTCGCGTATTCTTGCGATCACCGTTATATGAAATTTGCACATGTGAACGATATCTGTACAAAACAGGCGAACATAATAACGTATTTTTATCCCTCCTGTCAGATTAAAACTCGAGAAAGTTGTTCAATCTAGAATCGATCAAAATTAGGGCCAATCATTGTGTTAAACTGTTCCATCAGCATCGGTATAGAAAATAGTAACTTCTGAAAAAAACATCGATTCTAATCGAGCGCTATAAGATCCAGCCGGCCTTGATCGGGCTGATTTTTTGATACGTGGAAATGAAAGTCATAAAATATCTGCACAGATTTCTCCCACCACAACGACTGGAAATATGATGTTTAGTAATTATAAAATACGCATTTCGTTCGCAGACAAAATAACATACATTTGGTGTAGAAAGACACAGGTTACAAAGAATGAGCACACCTCCACTTCATTGTTTTGCGATGCCAATCAATTATTGACGCATCAATCATTTCTGAACTTCTCTAAGTGTTACATGTTGAATAATAATTTAAAGCAATGAAGTGAAGTTCTTTATGTTTGGGTAATATTTGAAAAAAGTAATTCTTAACATACTGGATGTGTTTTATTTAGCTTTGGAGAAGCGATAGTTAAATAGTGTTCTTGTAATTTCGCAATTTCACCATCATAAAAATTGTTTTCAGTCAAACATTGTCCAACCAATGTAGTTGATCAGTATATAAATAGGTTGAGAAAACTTGCCTGTATTGAAAATAGATCAGTTGATGTGCTCTGCACGTGCAAGATAACGTAAACTGTTTGTAATGTCAATAGCTAATATTTTGAAAGTATACAGTAAGCCCGAAACATTATCTCAGGTATTCAATTTGAATTTTTAATGACAACACGAATTTTTCTATTCAAAATAACATAAATTAAAGTTGGCTTTCGATTACTGTTCACTTTATGTCATGCATATTAATGTAGCATAACCTGATCAATTTATTAGTGACATGTGATTTATTTCATAACTTTTTCAATCTCCGTCAGTAACTGAAATATGAACCTAGTGTTTTATGTGTGATTTGAGGTTTTAGTAAAAACATGCGTTCTATTATATTTCAGTAATCTCGCCATACAATAAATTGTGAGTCATGTCTTATCGAAATGCGCTTGCCTCCTCGACTTCTCTGCTCCACTTCTCAATCCGACTTCTTATTCTGGATTTGTGTCCGCATAAAGCAGTACTTGAAATTTATTCATCCACTGAGATCATATTCATTTTCTTTTTACCACCGTCACATAAATACGGTCTGCCTAGGTCATGTACGAGCTTAGATTTAGGTTTCATTATCATAAAATCTTCGGATAAGCAAATCGGAGTTAGATAAACTGATTACAATGTTGGAAAACTCGACTTTGCACTAAACTTAGCTGGAAAAAACTGTGACAAACGACAAACATCCGACAAATAAACCAATTAGCCTACTCAATTGACGAGCATCTCAAACTAATCAACGTCTGATCCAGTGCATGAAATGAAGCCAGTACAGCTGGGACATGGATATGCTCATATAGTTTTACCTCATCGGAACTTTTTTGTCGTATCAACTCTTCGGCCTAGTTTGCTCGGCAGATCATTCCATCGTGATTATAATAACTAACATATCATCACTACATTGGCCTCACCACTTTTGTAACCCATTCAGTTTCTAAGTTCAAGAGATTTGATAAACACACACAGATTACCATCTACCGTTTGGAGTGGCTGTACCGGATGGAGGTCTCACAACTTAACTACCATTATCACTGACAAGCGTTACCAGCTTACCCTTATCGCTCTTTTAATCATGACTACTTATCTGTTAATCTCTCATTTTGATCATCTCGTTATAACAAATTTATCTACTTTTTGACAGAATGATCTCTCAAGAATAAAATTTTCACTTCTCTACTTTTCTCAATTCCACTAAACAAACTCGTGATCGACAATGCAATAGCTCTTGGTATCCGAAAGCCATACTGATCTGTAAAAACTACACCGAATAACATTACAAAATGTAGGAATAAATATCTTTCAATCAGACTGAATTAGTGTATCAGTGTCCAGACTGTTGGCTATTAGACATCATGTAAGTTCTGACACCGTACAGAAACAAAAAAGGGTAAATTATTCAATCACTTTATACAAAGTTGTTACAATTAGTTTACACATATTGCATATTGAATATTGTGCATTGAATTTTGAGGTTAGACGTTATGCCAACAGCATCTCAACATTTTTGAAAACAATAGTTTCAACCATTTTAAACTTCTCTATTACTTTGATTCTGGTGAATCAAATTCTAATTTATTTATGTTTGCTTACGTTGTTAGGAACTTACACATATCCGAAATTACCATGTATTAAAGTATGTACCACCAGTATTTTTTAACATGTTATACACCATATAGTGCATTCCCCATATGAGGAAATTCCACAATATTACTCCAAAATTTCTCCCTAATCTCGGTGGAAGTCAAGTGACTTTGAGGATTTCCCAAAAATCACCTAAACTTGGTAGATTGTACGTCTTTTAACAGAAATAGATTTCCAACCTACGACAGTGATCATTCTTATTTTGTGAACAGAATCATGAAATAATTCACACAACATGAAAATTCGAAATTTTCCGATACTGTTTCCGTAGTAATTTTAGTAACATTTATGTTTTATCCAATGGTGTACTTACCCGAGCTCTCAAGTTGGTGAAAATTTTGGGGGATCCTGGGGAATTTTCCCAGGTCTGGGAAAATTTTGGAGTTCAAGTGTCATTTCCCTAAAGTTTACTATATCAGTTTTCTCAGAATTTTCTCGAAATGGGTCAAATTTTTCCCAAGATTTGGAGCTCAGGTAATTTCATGTATGGCATTCCAAGCCTACAAAAATAAAAAGAGACAGATCTTAATGAATTTAGACTTTACCCAAGCAACTCTTATGCTAATTAAGACGACATCGTAAAGAAAGGTGACTCTTCTTGCCTCAGATAAGGAAATAATGAGACTTTTCACTCAGATATCTAATATGAAGTGAAAAGTCTCCGAATTCCCCCATTGTATCTGAAAAACGCAAAGGAAATGTTTGTTATTGAAAATTAGCATCTGCATCACCCTCTCTTGATTGATAACGCTTGTTCAATCTGTCTCTCATATGATATTTGAAAATTTTAGTTATACTGTCTACAGCTTTAAAAAGCTGTTTTTCTATGACAGTTGTTGACGTGATCTTTTATTTTACTGAATTCACGAAAAATTGTCACAATTACTCGCTCTTACTTTTCGTACATTTGTAGAATAGAACTTTATTGAGGCTTTTTTCGCTTTCCATGTCAAGTAACGTGAAATAAATTGGCAATTCTAAGTTGACTATGTGCACCACAATGTACCTGAGTTATGTCCCAAGGTTGTCGTACGATAGGGACTTGATGCATTACCATGGCACTATACTTTAAGTATTTGATGTTAGTTAAAAGAATCCGGGCTTTATTATGAGTTACTTTATCTCTATAACCTGATATCCCTCAACTAAAAAATATTTTAATCCTTCCAAAATATCTATATATCAGATTTTATACCTTAAAGTTTACTTGTCAAAATCAACAAACTGTTCACTACGTATAACTGCATCCGGTAAGGTTCTACCTTTATTTCTCTCTTTTTGAGGCTAAAGAGCAGAACAAATTAATCTATAATAAATAGGGTTGTCAAAGAATTCCTTAAAAACTAAGGTAAAAGGCAAGTCTTGTTTTAGACAATTCGCAGAGAGTACTGTTGCCAGTAATTTTGGTGGAGAGTTCCCCAGTATATTGATTATGTATATTAAGAAGTTCAGGTGAATTTTTATGTGAGTTCTTCCTTCTACCACAATCATATGTATTCTTAAGTGCGGTTTAATACTGAAACGTATTGATGGTTTATTGTGATGAAGACTGCTACGAGTGATATGATAAATCATGATATGCAGCTTTGCATTGCACAGGCTGGAACTTAAAAGCCTGCAGGTGAACTAAGGGGCTCTCATATCTAAGTTGCTATTTCTTGAACACGCTTCAAGAGAATAATATTCTTTCCAAAATAAAGGGATACTATAAAGGGCAGAATTGCTTTACCTTAGTTGTTGATTATCTTCCGTACTATAGACCAAATAGTATAAATTTGTTACTTTTTACTGGTAGTTTTTTATTAGCAATTCAGAACTGCAAACAAGTCGGTAACAATGTATTAAGATACCAAGTGGAACTAAATAGTTAGATTTCTAGATTAACATGGTTCATCGTATGCTTGAAGTATCATAAAATAAGATACAATCTATTAAATGAGAAGTGTAGATAGATGTTAATATTCAAGTTTAGACTGTTTGACTATAGTTTACGAAATGATAGTTAAAGATGGTTTTAAGCGTTAGTTAATCTATTATCAATTAAATCACCAAATACATTCATGCCTTTTATTTTAGTTATGAAAATCCTCTTGAATCCAACTTATCTCCTTAAAGGTTATTACACCACTGATCATGCATATGTCATAATAAGGTTTAATAGTTTAAACCAATAAACTGCTGAGAGTTATCTAATTTAACTCAGTTTTTACCGCGAATTTGATGACCAAACGTTTATAATGTTTTTGTCAAATATATCCAAGTAATTCAATTTTGTAATATTTCATTCCTATAGATTTTAAAAAATATGATAATTTTGCTCACTGTCTGAATAAGAAAATTGATAAGATTTTCAACATAACCAATTAGTTAGGTTACCTATGTTATTGTTGAAATGTCTCTCTCAACTGAAGGAAATCATTGTCTTAAAAATTTACGAAAGTGCTCAAATGATCAATCATTTCACTTCTCTGAAGGAAATTTATCTAATTCAAATGATCTAATCAATTCGCTTGACCGAATCCAATGGACAAATTTAACATCATTAGATCTATCATCAAACAAACTGCGTGATATTACGCTTTTAACTCATGCTGATAAATTAGAAATTTTAAATCTGTCAAATAACTTCTTAAATAACATCTCTTCAGTAATTGGTTGCAAAAGTCTAATTAGTTTGGATATCTCAAAGAATGATATACATGAACTACCAGAACTAAACAGGTTGCCATTTTTAGAAAAGTTGAATGCATCTCATAATCCAATAGGAAGTATTTCCGGTAAGTTGATGTCACCTGTATTTAATTTTTTCAATAAAACGTTTATACTAACGGTCACATTAACCTATAATATTAATAATGTTACAATGAATTTAAGAGACTGAAATAAACTGCATATTTGACTGATATTTTAAGATTTATTGTAATAAGAACTGATACATTTTTATAGACAGAACATGTCGCTAAAAGATGTCTTCGCTAATTTAATAACAAAACTCTTCATTTTCATCTAGGAATTGAAGTATAATTTTGTTAAATGATGAGGGTTATCATCAGTAAATTTGAAATCATTTCTCAAAATGTAATTGTAAGCATACAGTTTTAAAGATCGTTGAGTTGCATTGAAATCATGAGCCGATCTAAGTGAGATCACCATTCAAGATCTGAAATTCAACACTTGCCTTTTTCTTGTCACTTGGTTGTGTTTAAACTATAATTTCTTGTTTGTGCAATATTGTTGTCTGGTAGTTAATGCATTTAGTCCCTTTGATAAATTTTGTTAGTTTAATAAGAAGACGAAGATTATCAGAACTATGTGATATATTAACGCAATACATTTTGAACAATCTGATTACACACATACTTGTTAAGAACATTTATACATAAAAATAAAAGGTTAACTAGAATAGTCTAGTCGACAGATAGTTCTGATCATCTTTGTCTTCTTATTACACTATTGTAACTTATATAACCTGATGAGTGTTTGAGGTTTAGGGATAGAATAGATAATAATGGAAACCCTTTATATATATGCTCCGTTGGTGTTATGACTGACTATCAGGTCATATGGATACTCTATTCCAGTCTAATAAGAGCAATAACAGTCCCATGTTGGAACATTTTCACCATGAATGCTCATTAAAAATATACTAAGTGAATAATATAAAACGGTAAATATGTGTTTCATATTAGTCAGAGACTTGTGACCGCTAACAATCTATAGTTGCATTATGAGTTAAACCGAAGACTTTAATATGTCATAGAAAGCGTAATTCTTATCCCACAATGATTCTGTACAAGATATTTGACGTGTATTACCATAGCGCCAAAAGTTAGTTTGAATTCATTCTCCAAGTTGGACAATATTTCTCCAAGTTACCTGAATATACTATAATCACGTACTCAATAATAGTCAACGAAGGAAGTAATAACGCTGAATTCCTAGAAAAATCCTTATCTTATATATTTACAAAGTAAAAGGTATATAAGCTTCAGTTTTCATTAAAAAGTCTAAAAACAAACGTAATTCCATGTTTGAGGTGTTTACTCAAATCTCTGTCATCTTACATTCCCATTAGTTTCACATAAAAATTATGATTGATTGTCTCATTGTTAAAATAAAGTGATTACAATAAATCAGCCGTCAGTAGATGTCTTTCAAGGATGGTTTTATACCTAATTTTGGAAAATCAGCTTAGTCAAGTTCTTCAACTTGAATAAACTGAAGGTTGAAATTGACCCCAAGCATCATTCCGAAAAATATTTTTAAACGTAAGTCAATAAACAAAACTTGTCGGTTGGAGAACATTTATAAAACAATTACGCTATGGAAATCACAGAAAACTAGGAAGCATTGGACAACTGCTTCGTGCTAGTTTTGAACTCTTTACTTGGGCTCATCTACGAACCCACTGAGGATCAAACTCAAGATCTTAATGATTGTGACGAGTCTTTAACCCTTATAACATTTAGCATTAATCCATTGGTTTACACGTCTAACTTTAAAAAGCCACTTTTAAAAGTCAGTGATCTTCCAAAAACAACGAAAGACATGTACACAATACTATGAATTGACTGAAGTTAAACGTGTAAACTCCTAGACACATGCTCAATTATCTAAAGGCTAGACACTCCTTACGAATCATCAAGATCTTGAGTTTTCATCACAAATGAAGTCTTAAATGTACACTGGTATACAGTGCTTTCTAGTTTTTAATGATTTTTTAATATATATGGATTCATAATCTCTCTGGTAATTAATAATATTCACAAACCCATTATCCCAAAAAGAACAATGCATTTAACTTCTAGGCTCAAATAAATACCAAATAAATGAGATATTCATTTTAATTGGTTGCTTTTATCAAATGAAAAACTTTAGGAATCAAAGCGAATAGTAATACGGTGTGTGCTACTTATGTAGACACAAGTAGCATATGATGTTAGTCGTGAACAGAATGTCTGGCAGCAGAGAGACAAGAAGATTGAACAGTAAAGAATGAAGACAGAATGCAATTTGTATGAAATTACAAGAACAATGAAGTTTGAGTCATTTTGAGACAACTGATGCACATTTTGCGAATTGAGCATTTTAATAATATATGTTTGTTGGGTTTTATTAAGAAGTTCTGTAATTCGTTGTCAAATACGTTTGATTGTTCCACATCCGTGTTATGTTCACTACAGTAATAGTTCATGAGTTAGTTAAAGCTAGACCACCATGGAAAACCTGGAAGCAAAGGACGGTCAACTCGCCCTAGAATGGAACTCTTCAGCAATACACATCTACGATCCCGCACACCGCATTCAATCTCGCGAGCACTTAAACTCTAAACGACTGAGTCAGCATCCAACGGTGTTAATGTCTAACTTCAATCAAATCACGATAAGCTGAAGACAATGGTGGAAAGTGGCTTAATTTCATGGATTAGTTGGGGCTAGACATTGAGACCGTTGAATGTTGGCCGGCTTAGTGGTCTAGAGGTTAATCGTTCGCGAGATTGAGTGCGGTGTGCGGGATCGTAGATGTGCACTGTTGAAGAGTCCCATACCAAGACGAAATAGCCGTCCAGTGCTTCCAGGTTTTCCATGGTGGCCTAGATTTAATCGACTCATGAATTCAATTATTAAATTACTACAATCTCCACAAACCCGCAAACCTGTTATTAATTGATTTGTTACAATAAATCAAATTGTACCTGATAAAAATGTATCTTTTTAAAGCAAATGTTTCCTATGAATGTAATTTTTTCGTTATATATATATATATATATATATATATATATATATATATATATAACATGAGTGTTATTGTATTGGTTTAGCTTACAATATAGTGAAATAAACTATTGAGAGGAAAGTGGTTAATAACCTTCTATCGACATTAATGAAGACCAATGTTTTAGAATGTATAATACACTTCAGTACTGTTGGAGTTTGATTTTGCTGAATAATTTTTAACAGTCTACAATTCATTATACAACATGAAATTCATTTAGTTTTTATTCTTTGTTTTACAAGTTTTATTTTATTTAACGATATATAATGTAAAGCAATGTTCAGTTGCTATGATCATGTATAATTTATCAATCATTTTGATTAGTGATAAATGTTATACCCGTGTCGTCTTTTTTTAAAACTGATAGAATTGTGTCGATCAGGTATCAATGTGTCAACTAGTCTAAGTGGTTCATCATAGATTACTACTCACTGATCCCAGTCCTTCAGGAAGTTAGTTACTATGCCAATAGTACCTCCTTCTAATAAATAGTAATAGTTATGATCTTTGAAAAGATATAATTTCTGTGGAACAGATGATTATTTTCGTTCTATATCTTTCTAAAAATTATTTATAAATAAATAAATATCTCTTTTTTGTCACCTATCTTTTTTTATTTATTTCTTTCTTTACAAAACAAAACTAGGTTTATGGAGATGTATGAATCTAAGATATTTAGATATGACATCATGTCATTTAACTTCATCTATATTAACAGGATTAAATAATAATGAAATTCAACTTGGTGCTATTAATCCCTTAGAAACAACTAATACATTATTGATTTATTTAAAAGAAAATAATCTTTTTAATCAATTACAACCAACATTATTAGGTATTCCTAATTTACGTTTATTAAATTTAAGTTATAATCCTCAAATTTTTCATGCTTTCACTATTCAATTCAATATAAATGAATGGTGTTCTATACAAAAAAATTTATATCATAAAAATTTATTGATCAATGAACAATTTAATAAAAATTTATTAAATAATCAATTTAAAAATGATTCTAATGGTTATGGTTTATTACCCTATAATATTGAATATTTAAATTTACAAGGATGTAATATACATTTTATTAATGGTTTAACATTTATGAAACGTTTACAGATACTTAATTTAAGTCAAAATCAAATTATAGATGATCAAGCTTTAATGTAAGTTTTCTTTTTTTTTTTTGAAATTTTTTCTTTTTTTTCTTTCTTTTTTTTTTGCAGTCTAAAAATCCCCATAGAATATCCAAAAATGAAGAATATTTGAGCGAGTAATTGTTTTCAATATTTTCATCATCAGGCTATATAGTTATAAGTCCATAATTATTGTGATATTTTACAAAGGCCGTACTCAGAGGGCTTTATCCTTACGTGTTCGTGAACGTGTACTAGTATGGTTGGGAAAAGGAATTACCAAATCGATTAACAGCACTATTCTCTCTCACTTGGTAGATAGTGAATATCATATCGAAATAGAGGAAGCTTTTTCTGTTTTGTATCAAGTTCCAAAATATCTACCTCAAGGAGCTAGATTACGACTGCTTGATATGGCTGAAGCCATCTAGATCAACTCCAGAAAACCAAATTTATGTATCCAGAAAAAGTATATCCAGCCTTCATGTTTACCTTGGCCCACGACTAAATCACTGAATACCTAGACTGAATATTATAAACCTCTTACACCCCTTCTCTTTTTTATTACCTCTATCTTAATCTTCACATCTATCATTCCCACTTCGTTTATCGTAACTACCTTGATAACACCCCCCTTATTATATATTATATTCACACAACAATATTATCATTATTATCTCAATTGACATGATGAAATTCTCCTATTATACATTTTATTCACACAATTTTTTGCATTTTCATTTTTGCTATAATACTATCCTACTTATTGTGACTGGACACTTTACTCCAAATCATTCTGACTTTTATTGAATGACCTTTCTAATTTGCAAATAATACAATTTTGAATTGTATATATGTCGTAATAGATGCAAACGTTCAAAATTTTTAACATATAACATCGTCAAATTCATTAATACATACTTTATTTTGGCAAATCGATTGATGAAGTAGTGAAACTTCATCAGTTAAGATGGATGGGACACGTGTTACGTATGCCCATCCACCGAATACCCCAACGTGCGATGTTTCACGGTTTAGGAGTAGCTTGGAAGAAAGTTAGCGGTGGCCAGACCAAAACATGGCACAAATCCATGAAGTCATTGACAAGTAGACTGATCCATGTTGGTAGATGTCGACTACCCGGTTCCGAGGATCTGCAAAATGATAGCAACTGATGGTTAGAGGCCTTGAATGACATGGCTCAAAATCATTTACAATGACGCAAGTGCATCCACTCTTACGAAGTTCTACGTTGTTACAGACTGACTGATGTATGTAAAATATCACAATAATTATGGACTTATAACTGTAGAGCCTGATGATGAAGTTATTAAAAACAATTGTTCCGCCAAATATTCTTCATTTAATTTTTTTTTATTCAACATTTCTTTTTAAAATTCAGTCTATTTATACTTTTTTTCTTTATTTTTGTAAATTCATTCAAGGCCACTTAAATCATTATCATCTTTACAAAATTTAAATTTAAAAAATAATCCAATTTGTGATCAGAATAATTATTTTGAAAGAATAATTTTTCAATTGAAATATTTGAAAATCTTAAATGATCGTCGAGTGTCAATAATGGATAAAGTAAGTGATATATATATTATTATTATTATCATAGTGAGAATGTTCACATTTGAACCGGCTTCAATTCTATCAGGGTGTAGTGTCGGTTACCATGTCAAGTTCACATAACTTATTCTAGCTTCTGAACAGGCCAATTTATCTATTCTTTTCAAGTCATATTTTGTCCTTGTTAATCATTCACTTATCAACCTTGACTGTTTGTATATGAGCGTATATGGATGTACATCGTATCCTACTCATCACATATCTGTAACTTATTTTTATGTGATTATAAATATCGATCAGCGCTTGGTTAAATGGAGTTGGTTCACATGCCTTCTCCACTGCGCGTCCTTTTGTTTCACTTTACTCTCTGCTCTTTGCTTCTTTAATCTTTTGTCTGGATCAACGATTGTATGAAATATACGTATTCAAAATGTCACTCTCATATTTGACTTACATAATTCCGTTATTCACTAAAGCAGATTAAGTTGATAATTATATACGAGGATTGGCGACATATATATTTCAACAGTAATCATTCATACGATTAAATTGGAGTCTGACTTTGGGCCATTAAATTCCTACAGTAGTTTAAAATGCTACGGTTTATAACAATGAGTTAGTTAAATAAGCTTATATGTAAATGTAGCTTTACTGGTTTCCTGTTCATTCATAACTTTTACTCCATAGCCATTTTGTTAATAGACCGCAACGGCGTCCACAAAATAGCACTCTTCCTCTCCTGGTTGGCAGCGACATCAAATGTGGTAAACAATAGCACGAGTGGGGACAACCGAATGTATTTGGCACGAAATTACAGAGCATCTCAATAAAATCTGATAACCATATGGTAAATAGTTAATTTGAAAAATAACAATCCATCGTCCCCAATTTGACTGTTCCTTCGCAAATATCAGTTAATTGTCTCAAATTTCACTGTTCATTCATTTTCATACAAATCGCGTTCCGTTCCCGTTCTTTCCTTCTCGATCTTCTACTGAAATACATTCTATGCCTGACCACCGTTATATACTACTTATGTGGATATAAGTAACCCACATCACACTATGACTACATGATTGAGTAACTTTTAAAAACTAGAGATTAAAAATACAAAGTTTATCTGTAATATGATAGTATTATTAAAAAATATGTATGGACTAAGTTCCAAACCTCGATCTGTGAAGTCCATATTGTAATTACTATAACAAATTATAATCAAAGAAAGGGTACTCCGGTAAACTATATGACTGACAGCTTATAACTGTGTAGACAATAAACGAAAATTTAGACTATTAAATACTAGAATGGGACGTATACAATCAAAAAAATTATTTAAATCAACAAACTAGAATCGGAAACAGTTACAACGAAATTAAAATAATAAACAAACTAAATATTATAAATTATTGTTATTGCATAACAACATGCATGACATACTAGTCACTCAAAAGTTTGTTGACTCGAAACTGCTTACTGAATAATAATAAGTAGCTTAAAACAGTAATACCTAGAATAGTGTCAGATATGTGGACTTAACATGATTTATGAATTATACTCGACAGTAATAATAACAATATAAATTTCAATATTATAACAAGATCGGCTGATAAACGTCATTTGTTGGATGTCTCGTAGGTAGCAACTGAAATAGGGATCAACATTCTAAGTCATTGTGATAGGAATTTCAATAAGATCGATATGTAAATAAGTGTATTTGGTTACTATGATCTTCATTTCTCTTTTTGAGATATAAATAAAATCATTTAAATTATAATCGATTTTTTCTTCTTCATTAATTTTTAGCAATTATGATTCCCTTTGTCGATTGCCAGTTTCCCATTGTCATAATAAGTGAAAATTCATTTGTATTCAGTCTCAAGAAGTAAGGATCAGAGGTTTAACGAACTGATATTAATCCTTGCAATTGATAACACTAACACGCTTTCAATGTATTACATGTTCTGCTGGCGAATTCCAGTAATTCACTACTTTTTGCGAGAAACGGAACTCCAGACGTAAACGATTGGGTCTCCGTTTCTGAAGTTTCTTAGAATGTCCGCTCAGATAATCAGTCCTAGATGGAAGGAAAAGATAAGATATATCAATAAGAAGGTCATCGTTCAGTATACCTTAGGCCAATGTTAGATCGACCCGTTACCTGATGTACGATAACGGAAATAATTTGATGTGTCTCAGTCTGTCTCCATAAGATGGCCCAGAGAGTCTTTTTACCATTTTGGTCTCTCGCCATTGAACCTGTTCTAGCATATCTGCCTCATACTTGAAACAAGGGCTCACTGCTTGAATACCATATTCCAAAGGCGGTCCATGAAATTCCGATACAATATTCTAAATATTTCCTCATCCAAGTACTGAAAAGACTTAAGAATAGTCAATAAGATTCTAATGTCTTTGGCAGAGGCAGTCTAGCAGTTGCTCATTGTTTTGAGACCACTACTTATTATGACTCCTAGATTTTTATAGTTCATAGCTTTAGATAACACAACTCCATACACTGTGTAGTGATATAAGTCGTCTCATTTATTTCACTGCATCATCACACTATTGTTTGAGTTAACTTCTAATCCCTAACAATGTCCATCTATATATGTTGAACATTTTTTAATGACTCATTTCTAATGTTATTTTCCTAGGTACGTGCAAATCTCTACTATGAACCTACATTAGAACAAGTAGCCAGAGAAGATCATCGAATTAATTTACTGCATCAATTTACAAAACCTCAACGATTAAGAGATTGGTAAATTCATCTTAATTAATGCAATTAATTATTATAAGTCTAGAAGATTCATGGAGATTGTTGAATTGTTATGGTTAACACAATTTACTTATTCTATTTCAACAGTTATGCAATATCGAAAACTAATCAAAGTTATATATATATATATATATATATATATATATATATATATATATATATATATATATATATATATATATATATATATACTGTTGTTTACTTGCTCAATGGCCAGGAGGTTAAGTTCTCGTCGCGAGATCAAAGGTTCTTTTTTCGATCCCCTGTGAGATCATAAATGTGAACTACTAAGGATTAGAAAATTTAGGACAAATAATTATATTTGTCACTATGTACAAGTGTTAAATTGTAGTTATCAATACAATTGAAATTATGGAATACATCGTATATGAATCTTGTCAACTTACGAAATAACTATTGACCTCAACAAAACATATGCTCAAGAAACCCATAAATTAACCAAAAATCCTCAATTTAAACTGAAACACCAATTATAAGAAATTTAAAACTGCAACAACCACCGTTGTCAATTAAGTAAATGATTATGAATGACTGATAATTAGGTATGAAGTTAATCGTTCCTACTGCAATAACTAAGAAAAGCGGAATACCGAGTATATGTTTTGTTCATCTAGTAGGTAAGCACTAAGTATAAGAGTGTGATATTCATGGAATAATCCATTTTAATCATTTATAGCTATTCATGTATGTCTACCAAGAACAAATCACTGTACCACATCCCAACTTGCCAATTAAGTGAAAGTTAGGGCTTGAAATCAAATCGTCAGTGTAATGATTCTCTTATGTGCAGCACCCGCTCACTAGTAAAATGTTCACAAATGCTTGGTACCGTGTAGATTGTAAACATTGAAAAACAAATAAGCTAAAAATTCACGGACATAATCAGTGTAATAATGAGTTTACGTAATCTTAATGTTTAGCTTTGTAGTATCTGTTGAAGTTGGACATTTACACCGTTGGATGCCGGCTCAGTGACCTAGAGATTAAGCGTTCGCGCGCGAGACCGATAGGTACTGGGTTCGAATCTCGTGAAGCGGGATCGTTGATGCGCACCACTGAGGAGTCCTACAATAGGAAGAAAAGGCCGTCCAACGCTTCCAAATTCTCAACGGTGGTCTAACATTCATCTATTCATATGATCAATTCAAACTCAACAATCACCACAGCCCTATACTGATATGAATATTTATCGAATTTCAAATTCATGCTAAAATGTATCATAAATGTAGTCTGAAACGAATGATTAATTATCTGACGTTATTTAAGATAACGTTTACACTAAGTCAACAGCTTTAGCTTCACAAAATGTAAACAACTTATGTGAATCAGTATTACGGTGTGTTTTATACACATGTTAGGTTTTTATTATTAAAATGGAATCAGAAAGGGGCTTTGTGGATATTATAGTAATTTAATAGCTGAGTTCGTAAGCCAATTGAAGCTAGACCACCATGGAAAACCTAGAAGCACTGGATGGCCGTTTCTTCATGGTATGGGATTCCTCTGAAGTATGGATCCACGATCCCACCCTGCGAGATTCAAACTTAGGACCTATCGATCTTACACGAGAATGCTTAACTTCTAGACCACGGAGCCGGAATACAAATTGGAATTAAATCAAATTTCTCAACAGACTAGTTTCATAATATATTTAGGTGTGAAATTCCATTGAATTTTTAGTAAATCTTTATTACAAATCGGGATACAATACATATGACAGTTATGTATCACTGTATAAAAATATCCAATTAATCTTAGTAATGTCACATTTTCACTCAGCACAATCTACCCAACAAATATGAGTCTCTTAAGTCCATTTCAAATCATTGTTTAAAATATCTTCTATTAACTATGTTAAATTAACCAATAAAAGTTCAAGCTGAATTCAGATTCTAAATAAGAAAAGTACTGACTTAAACAATGTAACTGAACATCTCTTTAGTTAACATTTCAAAACTAATTGAACATTCTAATCAACGAAGTAAAATATGTCATTCTAATGAAAAAAGTATAATTAATATTAGACAACGATATAAATTGTGGAATCTATGAAGCACGTTTCGTCTTAGCCGGGATTCGTCAGCTGGATGTACTGGCATCCTAGAATTGATGTTCACTCTAGGAAATATTGTAAAGTATATCATAAAATCAGAAAAAGTGATCGTTATTATAATTTTTTTAATCAGTGGCTTTTTCCATGTGCTCATTTGACTTATGTAATCAAACATTAAAATAAACAATTCGTTACATTTCAATTACTTATTTCTATTGTTCTTGATATTTACTGGCCCTGTAAAGTTACATAGTAGATTGACAATTGATTAGCTGATTTAGTATTACCCTAGAATTGTGATTTTAACATCCAATTTTTCAGACGTTATCATTTTTAATTATTGTGATCAGTCTACCAACAAAAATTAATCTTAGACAGTATAACATAATGGTCCCTTAAAAGTGTATTTTCCTTTCAAAAAGAAAAAAAAGAAATATCTTTATTTTCCGTGTTTTATTGAAATCATGAACCGATCAGTGTTAGGTCGCCATTGAAAACCTGAAAACACTGAACAGCCATTTCATTCTATTATAGGAATCCTCAATAAAATTCAATAATATGTACAACATTAGAATGAAAATTTATGGTATGTCGTTAAAGGATGGGCCTGTATTTTGTTAACATGAAATTGAAATTTTGACCTATATAATTATTTACAAATTTTTCAGTAGTTTTACTTCGGAACGTATCATCTAATAAAATTGAAGTTTCGTACTTTGATTTGAAGTTTATCAAAGAAATATATTTGTTTGACTATCATTACTGAAAACTTCAACTCATTATTCATGGGAATTCTAATAACTTATTCTTGTTATAGGAAAAAAACCGTCCTACATTTGTTCTGCTTGAACAAACTATCACATTACAAATATTCAGTCATTGTTTTGTATCATTGAAAACATATCAGTCAGCTATAATGTAGGACCAGGCACATATATGCATCGGTCCAAGTTGCCACATCTCATTAGCACATCAAGATGAACACTGAATTCATAGAAGTAGTCACTTTAATGGTGGTAATACATAAAAGAAAGATTGCATATAAAAATATAATACAGAAAGGAAGAATTAGTTCGTAGAAAGAAAGATATAAAGTATTTTTAGTCTTACAGTTTAAGGGAACACAAGGAGTATATACACCTACGCCATTGTGATCGATTCTGAACCATGTCAGCCACAGTTTCCAACCACTGATTACGATAGTCGCGAGGACCCCAACCAAGTAATCTGCATCTACCAAAATGGCTCAGACTAAAAGTTAGTTGGTCTGATGCCACGTTTTTGGTTTGGCCACCCCTAACTTTTTTCTAACCATCCCTAACATTATTCTTTATTGTGTGTCGTGGTAACCGGTGTTCAGGCACACGTAACACATGGCCCAACCATCATGGTCGACCAAGATTTATAACCTCATCAACTGATTTACCTTCATTGAAAATATTTACTAACAGTTAAGCTTTTAATCTATTTCTTTGTTTATTTATTTTTTATTTGTTCGTACTAAACTGTTTCAAAATTTCTTTTTTCTATTAATAGTACTTTACCAAGTCTAGATACACCATATCCAATTCTTGCTATTATTGGACCAGTTGGTATTCATAAACGTCAATTAAGAAAGTTATTATATCAAAAGTTAGATAATTATTTTGCTCCACTTATTTGTCATACAGATAGATTACCTAAATATAAACTAATAAAACAATTCAATTCTGTCCAATCAAAAGATTCATCTCATAATATAACAAATACCCAAACTCGATTAAACAATAATAATAATAATTCAATAGAGAATAAGATGTTATATGATTCTAATTCGGAAATTGATGGCATCGACTATTATTTTGTGAATACAGAAGTGTTTAATAAAAAACGAATTGATGGTGAATTTATTCAAACTGCTAAAATTATGGGTAAGTATTGTATAGTTTAAAATAATTGAACATAATTAAAAATTGATAAGTAGGTACCAAATAAACTCATATATCAGTAGAGGTTTTGTGGAGATTGTAGTGATTCGAGTAGTTGAGATCATGAGTCAATTGAAGTTAGACTACCATGGAAAACCTAGAAGCATTGGACAGTCGTCTCGTCCTATTGTGGGACTCCTCAGCACTGAGCATCCACGATTCCACTTCGTGGGATTCGAACCCGGGACCTATCAGTCTCGCGAGCGAGCACCTCACCTTTAGACCACTGAGCCGACCGGCATCCAATGGTGTTAATGTCTAACTTCAACTAATCCACGAAATTGAGCGACACATCCACCATTGTCATCAGTGAGTTACTATCTCACAACTGATCCGGTCGAACTCCTCTGGTAACGGCTTGTCACTAGAACTCCAGGATATACATCTTGAAGCTAGTCACTAGTGAGCATATGTTGATTAGTATCAGAAGGGGTTTTGTCGAGATCGTAGTAATTTCAATATTTGAGATCATGAGATCGTGGATGCGCACTGTTGAGGAGTCTCACAATAGGACGAAATGGCCATCCAGTGCTTCAAGGTTTTCCATGGTGGTCTAGCTACAATTGACTCATAATCGCAACTATTCAAATTACTACCATCTTCACAAAACCCCTTCTGTTACTAAAAACAAATATTGTAATTTCTTCTACACCTTTCATTTAGGATATCAATATGGATTATCATGGGAAATACTAGAAAGTATTGCACGTCGTGGATTAGCCGGTATTGTTGTTGGTGAATTAGAACTATTATATGGATTACGTTTAGCTGGACTAAAACCTCGATCTATTTTGTGTTTACCAAATAATTTATATTATTATGAAAAAGTATTACGTGCTAAATTATCACAAATTCATTATACTCAATCTGAATTATTGTGTAATAATGATAATATATTAGAAACATTATTAGAAAATTCAGAGAAATGGATAAACTGGTATATTCATAGAACTTCTCAATTATATCCACAAATACATCGTGATAATCCTGGATTATTTGATGCTGTATTGTCTATTGATGATACACAAGAATTATTTCAACAATTACTTTTATTGATTTTTGACTATTTAGGTAAGTTAAAAGAATAAATGAATTACATATATGACTGTTATAATATTAAAGATCCTTATTGTAAAAATTGATATAATACAGATATTGGCAAATGATATTACTTTCAATTAGATTGTCATAATGGTTTACTGAGATAAACATGAATATCAAGGAGTCACCATTTATTTATTTGAACACATAAATATTGGGTACAAATGGATATCGAATATATAGGCGCCACACAAGTCAATTGATTTGCGTGTGGGCTATGATACTGCCCGGGCGCTCAGACCGAAGCAGGTGGTTTTCTTAGATGACAACACCCGGAGCCTTCGATCTAAAGGTCTGATCCACAAGGTAGCGGAGCAATGTCAGGAGGTGCAGTTCCACGGTAGCCGGTGACCAACGATTAGTTCATACATCATTTGTTCCTTCAGGATACTGGAGCCCATGTGCACCATTGATTTGGAATGAGAGTTTTCCAAATCCCTTAGGTGGACTCTCCGTGTCCACCGACCCAGTCAAAGCGCCGGACATTCGCTTTTCGTCCTCTCAATTTTGTAAACAACACTCCTGTCACGAAAAGGCGGTGAGTAGGACTTTTCTGGCAGTGGTTGTATGCACGTGGCTACGTGAGAGCATTTAGTGAGAGATAGCTAACTCTACCCATCGTCAGCCGTACCAGGTAACTTGGGGGAGTAACCATAGATATTTATTGACAACCATATAAAACTCAAACCACCTGGAGCACAACTAACTTCTGTAGAAAAGAAAACACTTTATGTGAACATCGATTTCAAAGGTGATATAGTTATAGACGTCTTGAAGGGGAGAATTTCTGACTCTCACAAAAGAACTGTTTTCTCTGCAACCGTTTTCTGCAACAGTGTTCTCAGCCGACCAATAATCACCAATCATCTGAAGAATAAATTATCTCATTTGACCAATTCTATATGCATTTATCAATTCACCTATTTATTTGGAACCAGCTGTATGAGTCATTCAATGAGTAGTTTGCCCAAAAAATTCAAGAACATTACCCGTTTAGACCGAATGGCTCAATAAGAAGTTTGAGAATCGAACACTTTGTGAACACAGGTCACTCAATCAAAACAGACTCTGAGTTCAAAGTCATCTACAATGTAAGTAGAAAGTTGCCAAATGCAGTTATATTCCATCTTCTTGACATTGCTCTAGCAATAGCTATATATCTGGAAAAACCAGATATATTTGTCCAAAATAAACTGGTACAACCTTTTCTTCTAACACAGTCTTAATCTCTCATACCTTTCTTTCTTCATACTTTTCTTCTTTCACAACTATCCGCTTTCCTTCTATCTTCTCTATAAACCTTTTACCCCCAACTGATTTGCTTCTATTTCTATGATTCTTCTGACTACATTTAATCTCAACTTCAACATTTTATCTTATCATTCTGAGCCACCTTTACCCAATTATAATGTACCTATCTCCCTTCATAATTAGTATTCAAGACCTTAACAGCAATGTTGTTATTAATTTCGCTTGGTATTGCTTACTTGAATCTTCCCATCGATGTTTAGAATTGCAATTGATCAGTCTCTTATTCGGACATGTGCATGGTGTGTGTATTGCCTTAATTTACAAGCATTATAAGCAAAGATGTATAGTGGCTAGCAGTGAAATCCAGTTTGCGCGTTTCGTACTATTTGGGGCTGTTATTAGTTTTCCTGATAAAAATAACGTCTAAATGCCTGTGTTTATTCTAACTCACTGTTACTATGTTTAACAGAATTTTATTATCACTATTATTGTAATTATTATCATTTTGAAAAATAAGTGTATATTTGCAACTGTACAGTTTTGAAAATGAACTTAAAATAATCCAAAAATCTTCGTTAAAATTACGTAAAAAGGAGTATGCAAACAATTAAATAGTGAAGTATATAAACGGAAGGAGATGAGAAACGACAAGTAGAGATAGAATGTAAAACAAATAGGTCGTTTATTACGTCGGCCAATAAAGGGACGGGATTGTCACGAATTTCTTCTGAAAATATTAACTAGGATTATAGGTTCGGATCCCTATAGCTTCTGTTATATGTAGAGGAAGGAATTGTACCCAGTCGGACAATGTCTAATGTATACGATAGATCATTCGAAATAATTTGGTTTCAATTACTATACGATCACTGTCAACCAGGTGTACAAAGATAGATCTGCACATTATATTTGTCTAGCACTTCCCAAACAAATTTGAGAAATGTTTAGTCATCAGTAAATATGCACGTAAGTTACTCATGGAGGAAAGCAAAATTAATAGATTGTATTCATATTAATCGACCAATAAAATAACCCTGGATTTCACATTGTTTAGCCCTTAGTGTTGAGAGAATTTCATTCATCAGGTTGCAATTTATCTACTTGTTTCAGTTATCGTGCATAATGGCACACATTTTAAAAAATCAGGTTGTCGAACGGATTTTGAATTTTATGATAGCTGATACTTTTTATCAAACTGAATCTCCGACCTTGATGATGGCTGAACTTCTTAATCAGCTGTGAGATGCTTGCACTAAGTAATTATTGAGTAGTTAATTTCATGGGAAGTTGATTGCTGACAAAATAACTTGGTGGTAATACTGAATGGATATGATTCTAATGTTACGAAAGACATCAGTTTCCTTAAGATAACAGGTTAGCGCCAAAAATCCCTGCTAATTACCTCCAACCATCAAACAGAGATATTTGGTTACTCCATATGACATTTGCAGGTAAGAAATTCGTTTATTATGTTAAGCTGTTACTTACTTACTAGTAGCCAAATTTTTATCATTTCGTTACACATTAAAGATAAACGCTTTTTACTGAATCCATCAACAAAGGTTATCAGAAATTAATAATATTCTACTATGGTAGAAAATAGATGACAAAACATACTTAACCAGAAATAAACCACAAATGAGCGATCCTCTTTATCATTTAAAACAATACATTCTAAAAGATTATAAATAGTTGAAAAATGGTGTGTTTAGGAATTCTGTCATTTTCTATACTACTTTTGTCATACATTGTCTACTTAAAAGTGTTTTAAAAAACCTGGAAAAATATCTGAATAGAACTAAGAAAGAATTTCAACACGTACAGACGCAGTTCTAATATGGTGCAGATGTAAATCAGCATAACCAGTGATTTCATAACCGAATGAAATGGACATTAGTTACCATTTAGTTAATAAACTGAACTTAAAAACAGGTTTTCTATTGATTTTAGTATATAGACTGATATGTTTGATGTTAATTTAAAATGTATTGTCATTGAAATATACTTTTTAATGGGCCACTATGCTACAAATATAAAGCAAACATCAAACTAACTTAAGTTTTAATTTTATTTATTTTGTTTACATTTCAGGTATAAATAGCTCCAATGAGTTTCCTAATATCCAGATGAACGATAATGGTATTGCTGAAATATAAAGTCCCTCACAAATACATGGGTTGTGATGAAATACGTTGAGATTATTTGATTAGCTTAATTATAAGCAAATAAAGTTTAGAGACTTCGTCGTCTGAAATAGCTCAGCTGTTTCATCAATAACATATCTGACCAAGCCTTCTTTACAAGCATTATCTAAAATGAATACATGATAACTTAAACAAATTCGTTTTTTATTAAAGTATTCGTAACTTGAAGATACCTATTAACTTGATGATAAGATTTCTTTTATACATATTCGCTGATATTTATTGTTTAAGTAAACTTAACGTTAAGATTGAACGCTAATCCTGTAGGTAAATGCGAGTCGTTTAGTATTTCTAAAAGCGCTAAATACGCAATTATCCGGTGATCGCTTATCCGTAAAGTTAGCTGATGAAATGCAGTTTATTAGGTGATAAATTCAATAGGATTTTCAGCTTCTGTTGTACACAAGTAGCTTCAACATAACACACAGATACTAAATTCACTGAAATTTCATGAGAAATCACGGACTGTAAAAACCTAATGGTATAAATTCTTACAGAAACACAACGTTATCGATATTAATTCCATGTTGACTGTTATGATTTCTAACTGCTAGCAGGTCAGCTTAAATAGAATCCTGATATAAGAACGTTAAATCCTTTTGAAGAGTTTAATCAACGTTTTACAAAATCCTATGTAGGAAACGATGTCTCAGAATACAAGTGAACGACGACTTGGATACTAATCTAAATTGGTGGTAGACAAAAAGGTGTTCTCATTTGAATTTCACTGCACAGTTGGTTCATAATGGCTAGTGAAGTTCCGTACGGTTATGCGTTCTATTCATTCATGGCCTTTGTATTTAGATATTCAAAGGATACTAGTTCTACTTAGTTCAGTCTAAGTGTGTAGATGATCTTAATATTTGAAAACATTTTAGTGACAATATGAATTTATATTCATGTATTTCGTTACTCATAACTTTTCCTTTTTGATTGAGCTTCTGATATATTGGTTAGAATAAGTGCAAGAAACAGAGTGCAGCCACTTCTGCATGGTCCAGTTCATTGCATGCCATTCATTAATGCACTTTGGTTGCTCTTAACATCGACGAGGGTCGGTGAACTGTTCAACATTCGGTGACCTAACTGCCGAATGACTTGACTGATGACATTTCACAGACCCTACATGTATTGTCTGGATGAAACCGTGCCAGTTACACTGAACCAGAGCCACGACAAGATGCACAAACCCTCCACTATGAGTGGCCGTGGACTCGGCACATATGACTGAGGAAAATCCCATAGTGTTAGACAGATCAGAACTATGCAGCAATCGAGCATCCAAGTCAGACACGATCAGTAGGGTGGGGAACCATAAGTGACGATCAGCGAGCCAATGTTTGGTAGTATGCGAGAAGCTTACGTGCTTCATACTTAACGATGGCGATGGTTGTCACGTAGCCTAGATGTGCTCACAATCCCAGAGACAAGTGTGTTCCGAAATTCCAGCCTATGACACCTCAAAATAGTTAAACCATCCCATTTGGTAGTCGAAAATTTAGAAATTGAGGGGATAAAATCGTTTTCCTTCAGGCTTACCTTAAGGTAAAAAATTCCTTCCACACTTACTTCCGATGTTTCAACAGATGACCTACATCGGCAGGACAAAAGCAGAGTAAACAAAGTGCTCCTCGCTACCAGTTGTCCGCAATCATAATTCTATGACACAGGGCAACACTAACAAAGCTCTTGCCACCCAAATCTCAAAAAACAGATAAATTTCTCCATACCACAAACCGTTCACAACATTGCAATCAGCCACTGACATGAAACACGTGTAAGCGACAAGCAGCTAGTTACCTATACAGCCGTGTAGAGGGAGCTGGGAGGGAATTATGGGAGGGTAAAAACGTGTGTTTTCATTCTTAACTGATGGTGATCGCCCGATTGAAATCCCGCTCCTCTCTGACGTCACAGACAATAAAGCAAATGTCTACGGTAGCATACTATTCCTATGTGATAAGGAATCTAAAATATGTCAATGGCTACTTAAAGGCTATAATACCATCAAATGCCATATCGGCTGAGTTGTCAGAGTCTTGTTGATTTCGCTTAAATGTCAATAGTACCAAGTGCTTGATTGGAAGAACATACCGTTGTTAATGTAGCAGAGTTTTCAATAACACTGATTGCCACTTGGACTCAACGATTAGATTATCATAATATCCACAAATACCGCTTCTGATACTAGTCAACATGTGCTCACTTGTGACTTACTTCAAAAGGTAATTTCTGTATTTTTGGTTAGAAGTAGTGACCAGTGGGTTTGTTGTGAGTTTGTTGTGAGATAGTAACTTAATGAAGATAATGGTGGTCGGTGGCTCAGTTCCGTGAATCGGTTAAAGTTAGACATTAACACCGTTAGATACTGGTCGGCTCAGTGGTCCAGAAGTTAGGAGCTCGCGCACAAGGCCGATAGGTCCTGGGCCTTAATCTCAAGAGTCGTGATCTTGGATGCTCACTGCTAGGGAGTCCCACTACAGGACAAAACGACCGTCCAGTGCTTCTAGGTTTTCCATGGTGGTATATCTAAGTGACTTGCCAACTCAACTATTAAATTATCACATTATCCACGAACAACTCTTTCTGATAACAATGATTATTTTTAACCGTAAAGTAATTCCATCTATGATCATAAGGCCTTCGCAATTATGAATTTAATTGTACCTGACGTTGTACTTGAAATTTACTGTTTGTCATGAGAGTTCGGGCTGAATAAGGATATCCGACCAAAGAATGAATGATGTTTACTCTCATTAGGGATGTTTACAGATGTAGCTAGCTGCTAAAACATGAACAACTCGGAAATAATTCTATGGGTTCGTGACTAAAACAAACTGCGAGACTGCGTGCCCGTGAAGCTATAGAGCTTAACTATAGAGATATTATCAGCTTGGAAATGGGAGAGACCTTCAGCGTCTTGACATAAAATTGACCATAGAACTTAGTGTCGCGGGACCGTCTTACACTAATGTTCTAAAGAATGTTCATCTAGCTCCCGGGAAAATATTTAAGAATCTGAGATTCCTGCTCCAGAAAAAGTCAGTATGGTGTGACGCAATAGACTACTGATTTTCCGATCTTCGAAACTGGCAACAGAACAAAATACACTATTTCCTGTGCTGTCCAAGGTTAGGGAAGGGACGGCTTATGAGCAACCGTGGGAATACTTGGTCAAAAAACACACTAGGCTATGAGAGAATATGGAATGACCTGATAAGTATCCACAACATTAAGTCAATTCAGCACAATTCTCAACCTGAACATCGCTATCGTATTCCTCAAGGAACCCTCTTAAATTTTCATACCGACAAACAAAATTTGAATGCCCTCTGAGCTTAAGTGATCAAAGCTTCCATAGTGGATATATTCAAGAGGAGACTTGATAAACATGTTCACACCTATAGATTACCATCTCCCGATTAGATCAACCTACCGGATGCATGTCTCACAGCTTATTTACCATTATCAATAACACACGCTATCAGCTTACTCATTTCTCTCTTCTAATCATCCCCGTTTACCTGTCACTCACACATTTGCACAACTCACTATATTTAGACAATCAATTATCTAATTTATTTACTTTCTAAAGTGGTCGTCTTCTCTTAACACTCGAATTTTCACTTCATTATTTTTCTCAGTGCCACAAACCAACCTCCTGACTGACAATTAAATAGATCCTGTTGTCTGGAATCCCAACTGATATGCGACAATACCATCGATTAACATTAAAATATATAAACACATTATTGTCAAACTGACTGGAACTAGTGAAACCAACTAATCGGTATCACTTATGTCCTTGGGATGTACAGAAACAACAAGAAACGAGAGCGAATAAATCAATTCGTTTATTCGTTTATCTTTACAAAAGGTCTTGTTTATTGAATCCTACGCAATTTAAACGTTTTCGTCACCTCAATGCTTTCATTGTCTAATAAATAATATTCAGATGTCAAAGGCATGAGTTTTGTTGATGATGCTAACAACCCCTCGACACAATTATTCGGTAAGCATGCCTCCCGTAATTATTTGTTTAGTAATAGAAGACTTGACTCCTGGGTATAATCGCATAAATGACGGTTCATTTCAAAATGATGCTTGTAGAATAAACAATTTTTCTTGTCGATCAGCAGATGAACCAAGCTGCCAACAGGTAAAATCCGTAACTGTTACTGTATATTAACTTATGATCAGTCTGTACACACTGTATCAACTGCTCGTTCTCCGGACTGTAATCAAAATGCTACAACCGTTAACCAAAGAAGGTAACTAATCTTTCCAAGACGGTTTTATTTTATTCTTTGCGCTACTGTGTATACTTTTATCGGGTCTCATCAATAACGAATCAATTGTGGTAGCTCAGTTAAACTCACTGCCTTTAAACTGTAGGGTGTTGCTATTGTTTCTTGACAAAATATTGTGCATGACTTACTAAAACCCTCACTTATTTCCCCTAGTGCATTATATTATGTTTTAAAGTTTGTCTTAGTGTGCTTGTGAAGTCAACATTAAAGCCATTCTGTCACTTGAGGTTCCCCTTTGTATTCCGGCGATCGACTTTAAACGGTAGTAGTCAGGTTTTTCATAATAATAAGCTTCATTCTTGGTGTGTGTTTCTAGAAACACTCCGTAAAAGTAAAAACGATAGGCTTCCGTATTTTAGGTTCGGGCTCAACCCCCATGTCGATAACTGGGTATTTGTGTGGTGTTATGGGTTCTCACACAAATGCTTCTAAAAGTATCTTTTCGGAGCAAGATGCAGTTGCTAACGAAATTTTGTGCATACTTGATCTTACTGAGTAAAGCATTTATTACCATATTTTCATGATAGCTGTGTTCCTTACATTTCTTTTTCATGTGCTGTAATTCTTCAGGTTGTCTATGTTTAACAGTTTTGTTATTCTGAACTTAAACTTTTACGCCTTCAAACAATCAATGGTTAAACCAACATCAATATAATTTTCGTTTGCTTTTAATGCATGCGTATGGTCGTTGCTAACTGAAATGTTATACACACTTCTTGATAAGCTCCAAGGACAACTACATTGTGTCGACCCAGTGGAGTATCTTGTACCGTTTTTTACCACTTAGTCCGTTTCCATAGGTAAACGGTACCAGTTATT